TAATCTGTCTGTCTATCTATCCATCTATATCTCTCTATCTCTCTCTCTCTCTCCCTATCTATCTACCTACCTTTAATCTGTCTGTCTATCTATCTATCTATCTATCTATCTATCTATATCTCTCTATCTCTCTCTCTCTCTCCCTATCTATCTACCTACCTTTAATCTGTCTGTCTATCTATCTATCTATCTATCTATCTATCTATCTATATCTCTCTATCTCTCTCTCTCTCCCTATCTATCTACCTACCTTTAATCTATCTGTCTGTCTATCTATCTATGTTCAGTTGTACTATTTATTTTGATAGAATGATACACATCCAGTGAAAACTATTTTTGTCAGTAAAATTAATCTGGTCTATATCTAACGCTATGAAACAGTTGCCTTTGGTTGGCTGATGTAGAATTTGTTACATTTGTTGCGATTCTTGCAAAGAGTTTAGTAATGAACGTGTGACCGTGTTTGTAAGAGATGTATCCTGTATAAATCGGATATAAATGGTAGCATTCAGAATGCCATCTATAACTGATTCGGTATGGACTGTTATGGGGATAAATGTTTATTTAAATCTTGAAGTATATGGATATTTGCTACGTTTGCCAAAACACAAATTAAAACAAATATTTATGGCTAAGGCCTTGCTTGCTGCTTATACATTGTATCACATTATGGGAAGGGAGATGGGGGGAGGGGGGAGTTAGGGGGGAGGTGGAGAAGGGGTTCCTCGTGTGTGATCAAATGAATAACAGAATTCAGGATCACGCGTATTGTTTGTAATGATGTACCAAGACAGCCGATGCTGTGATGTGATCCGGTGGGATGCATTCATTATAATGAAGGGTTTCCATTTTGATCTAGTTTGTGTGTAGCTACTAAATGGCCACGGAGATGTTTCTGGACTTAAACTCCCATCACACCAAGCCGGTACGCCCCCAACAAACTGCTGGCTGAAGGTCATGGGATGCGGAATTCGGCAACTGTTACAAAAAACCTGCCTGATTGTTTCCATGGAGATTACCAAATGATGTAATCCTTACATCCAGTGCTACAAGTTCGCTGTATATTTATTATTTCTCATTACAACCTGTGTGGATCTAGATGAAACATACCTTATGTCTGTATAGTTTGGAGTATAATTGTGTACATCTAGTCTGGGACACCTTGTGTCAGTCTTACTGGTGTACACGCTGTGTGGTTCTAGGTGAATACATTATGTCAGTCTAATTGGTGTACACTCTGAGTGGTTCTAGGTGAATACCTTGTGTGAGTCTAATTGGTGTACATGCTGTGTGTTTCTAGGTGAATACTTTATGTCAGTCTAACTGGTGTACACTCTGTGTGGTTCTAGGTAAATACATTGTGTCAGTCTAACTGGTGTACACTCTGTGTGGTTCTAGGTGAATACATTGTGTCAGTCTAACTGGTGTACACTCTGTGTGGTTCTAGGTGAATACCTTGTGTCATTCGGGTTGGATTGACATACCAGCAGGATCAGTATACCTTGTGTCACTTTAGTTGGGGAATACTTATTTATAATTAGTTGTGTGATAGCTTGTCCATATCTTGTTGGATATATTTTATTCATCTTGTTAAAGGATACCCCTTTTCTACCCAGTTGGAGTATACCTTGAGTGGAGATACAGGAGTATAACTTGTGTGGGGCTAGTTGGAGTATACTTTGTGTGGAGCTATAGGAGTATACCTTGTGTGGAGTTATAAAAGTACACCTTGTATGAAGCTATATGTAGTTAGTTGGAGTATACCTTGTGGAGCTAGTTGGAGTGTACCTTGTATTGAAAAATATGTGTTGAGTTAGTAGGAGTATACCTTGTGGAGCTATAGGAGTATACCTTGTGTGGAGCTTGTTGGAGTATACCTTGTGTGGAGTTATAAAAGTACACCTTGTATGGAGCTATATGTAGTTAGTTGGAGTATACCTTGTGGAGCTAGTTGGAGTGTACCTTGTATTGAAAAATATGTGTTGAGTTAGTAGGAGTATACTTTGTGGAGCTATAGGAGTATACCTTGTGTGGAGCTTGTTGGAGTATACCTTGTGTGGAGCTATATATGGTGAGTTAGTTGGAGTATACCTTGTTGAGCTAGTAGGGGTATACCTTGTGCGGATCTTGTTGGAGTATACCATGTGTGGAGCTGTAGGCATAGAATAATTGAAATATACCCTGTCTCAGTGCATCTGGAGAATGTATTGTGTTTCTCTTTGAGAAGATTTGGGGTATTTTCTATAAACAGTTTGGTGGGCTGAGCTCGCAGACTTTGAGGATGTTTTTGTGACAGAGATTAACTTTGTGTATTAAAGCTCCTTGAATTATATCTAAATCTTATTGTGGATTTGGTTCAATGTATATGTCAGTTAGTTTGACACAAAGGCTTTGTGATCTAGAAGCAAATTAAACAACTTGTGTCTCTAAACTACTGTTTCTTTTTTCACAATCATGTACATATTTTATCAGTTTCATGAACAGAAAGGGAAATCTCACAATGCAGTTATTTTAAATTTAGCAGATGGCATAACATCACCACAATATATGAACAATATATACCATAGATAGTCCAACAGGCCCTGTTGCATCTCATTGCGCACGAAAAACCCATTTTGTAGAGTGGATCTCAAAGATGGAACCTCCTGTAATTTTCTTTATCAAACTTGTAACTTAACCTTAACATGGGTCATTGTCACAAAATGGCCTGAGTCCAACCTTAACACGGGTCATTGTCACAAAATGGCCTGAGCCCAACCTTACCATGGGTCATTGTCACAATATGGCCTGAGCCCAGCCTTAACACGGGTCATTGTCATAATATGGCCTGAGCCCAACCTTAACACGGGTCATTGTCACAATATGGCCTGAGCCCAGCCTTAACACGGGTCATTGTCACAATATGGCCCGAGTCCAACCTTAACACGGGTCATTGTCACAAAATAACCTGAGCCCAACCTTAACACGGGTCATTGTCACAAAATGGCCTGAGCCCAGCCTTAACATGGGTCATTGTCACAATATGGCCTAAACCCAAACTTAACACGGGTCATTGTCACAATATGGCCTGAGCCCAACCTTAACATGGGTCATTGTCACAATATGGCCTGAGCCCAGCCTTAACATGGGTCATTGTCACAATATAGCCTGAGCCCAGCCTTAACACGGGTCATTGTCACAATATGGCCTGAGCCCAACCTTAACATGGGTCATTGTCACAATATGGCCTGAGCCCAGCCTTGACATGGGTCATTGTCACAATATAGCTTGAGCCCAGCCTTAACACGGGTCATTGTCACAATATAGCCTGAGCCCAGCCTTAACACGGGTCATTGTCACAATAAAGCGTGAGCCCAGGCTTAACATGGGTCATTGCCACAATATGGCCTGAGCCCAGCCTTAACACGGTCATTGTCACAATATGGCCTGAGCCCAGCCTTAACACGGTCATTGTCACAATATAGCTTGAGCCCAGCCTTAACATGGGTCCCACATCTGATGCTCGCCTCCAAGACTTCTCCAGGGCTGTACCTTTTCTGTGGAACTCCCTTCCCTTCTCTGTTAGACTTTCACCCAGTCTCCACTCCTTAAAAAAATCTTTGAAAACACACTTCTTCAGGAAAGCATATCATTTAAACTGTTAGCAGGTTTTCATCGCCCCGCACCCCCATGACTCCTCTCCTGCAACTGTCAAAAATAACCTACTAAGTTCTCAGTGATTACTTTTCTAGCAACCTATTTCATTGCCCCTACTTATACCCTTTGTGTCACTATACCCTACTCCCCCTAGCAAGTAAGCTCATTGAGCAGGGCCCTCAACCTCTCTGTTCCTGTGCGTCCATTTGTCTGGTTCCAATTACATGTCTGTTAGTCCACCCATTGTACAGCGCTACGGAATTTGCTGGCGCTATAAACAATAAAATAATAATAATAATAATAATAATTATGGCAAGGGGCAACAACAGGCTACCCCCTCTCTCCCTCCCCATAGGCATCTCTCCATGTCTCCTTCTCTCTAGTTCTTCATTCCCCTCTCTCTCCATCTTTCTGTTTTTTGCTGTTTAACTCTCTGTTTTTTTCTTTTTGTAACTTTATCTGGGTATTTGTTTCTTAGTTTCTTCCATATTATTTCTCCCTCTCTAGTCTATTCTTTCCTCTGTTCACTCCCCCCTCTCCCATTTTACTGTGTACATCTTTATGTCCGAGTTTGATGCAATCCATCCCATTACCCTCAGCTAACCCAAACCTAGCTGAGTGTGCTGTGAGTGGCAGTCCAGGGAGATTTATTGGGCTATCCCTTGCCATGTTTCCTACTGTCTTCTCCTGTCACCCGAGAGTCCCATGGCCTCTGAGCACAATAGAAAGTTTATGTTGGGAACAAAGATTGCGATCTGATCTGATGTGAGTTCAGCTCTGCCAATTCTCCCCAGACCAGGAAATTGACAGCTACAGGTGCAGAGAACACACACAGAAAGCTGGGGGCCTCCATGGGCTCATGGAAAAGCTGATCCCTTCATATTCAGGCAGCAGATTCTATACTATGGCAGATAATTCTATCTCACATATAATGGACTCCACCACCCCCACAGAGTGCAAGCTCTTTGGACCAAAGTCTGGTAATTATCATGTAGTTGTCAAACTACAGCTTTAATCGATTTTTACATTTTATTTTCGTTTAAAATCATTCGCTAAACAACGAATTGTGACGGTTTGACACCCGTCGTAAAAAATATGGTACAAAATAAAATAAAAACAAATCTTCAATTTTAGTCGCATTGAAAAACTTGTGAACTCACCGTTAAGTAAATAAATTCTTGTATTACCGGTAAAATAATGCAATGCTTCTGTAATTAGAAATATTTTTAATGAATTAATTTTAGCAAATAAATCGGATGAACAGGGAAATAAATCTAAGATTCTATGTTCAGTGGCATTCGGGAAATAATGTAATATGTTGTAAAACTAATTTGAACCCACTTACATCTTTCATTTTCTGGATTATTAACAGTTTTAATTCAGAATTAGCGAAATGAGTTCTCATTTTTTAATGAATGATAATTTAATGGAGCTTTAAGCATTAATCAAGGTTCATTTAAATGATTTTTTCGACGTGTATAATAAAGTATTATTTAATCAGAGTGAATGCACATTAATTACCAGGAACATGTGAAATTGGAGAAACTTGGACATTATAAAAAGGGCATTTATTCACTAAATTCACACAAAAATAACGAATTTAAAAAAAAAAGAAATACATCTGAACTTTTTCTCTAATTTGCCTTTTTTTTTGTTGTTAAAACAAATCCACTTGTCATTTCTCCACAATGGAAAAAAATGTAATTAAAGTCCATAGAATTCCAAAGACAGAAGCCTATCGAATGTAATAGTACATTGGCTGATAACCTGCAATGATTTTACTGTCAGAAGCCATGCTAGGGTGTTAGAGGACAAGGGTTTGATAACTGATCCTAAGAGATATTAATAGGGTCTTATTACAGAAACTGGCACTAGAGGGTCATGTATTAAAAATAGATATCACCGAATCCATTTTCCACTTTATGCAATAAGTGCTCGAAACACAGATCGATGGATAAATACAATAATGTGTAATCCCTATGAAATGTATATACAGTTTAGAATAATAATTTTTTTTCATTTTCCTTTCCATATATGTAATACATAAAAGTTCACCTTATATTATGGGGACATAAATCTGATATAAACACTCATAAGGATTTTATATATATAATAATATCATTTTAACATAATAATAATAATAAAATAATATACACATCACTTACACAAACATATATATATATTGTAATCAATATGCTATTAATACTAACTAATAATAATAATAATAGTAATAATAGTAATAATAATAATAATAATAATAGTAATAATAGTAATTATTATTATTATTATATATTAATAATCGTATTATTATGATCCAGACACCCGGATTTTTTGTAACTCTCTGTTTCACATGATATGTATCAAACAGAACGCGATCTATGATATCAATGTGTATAAACATAATATCTATACATTACACAGATACATGTAGCATTGTTTGTCTTTGCATAGATTCATACATGGAATGTCCTGTCTTTGAGACTTGTCTGCATGTATTTGTATTCGTGTTCTATGGTTTTCTGGTTTCTATTTGTACTAGAAACGATAGATAGACCGTTATTATTCTATTTTACCTAATTTAGAGAACGTTCTGTAATTTACTTAAATCTATGACAACAAATTTATCCAGATAGCGTCCTGTAGTTCTCACATAGAAATGAGAACGAGAAATGAGAACGCATTCATACAGAGGAAGTTCAGAATATGTCCTGTAATTGCCCAATGTGTGTGTGTGTGTGTGTGTGTGTGTGTGTGTGTGTGTGTGTGTGTGTGTGTGTGTGTGTGTGTGTGTGTGTGTGTGTGTGTGTGTGTGTGTGTGTGTGTGTGTGTGTGTGTGTGTGTGTGTGTGTGTGTGTGTGTGTGTGTGTGTGTAGAGAGAGAGAGAGAGAGAGACGTTGAATGCCATTTTTTGCAAATTATCGATGTATTGTTAGAGAAAGCGGTTTATGACTTTCCGCATATTAAACAGAATATTACACATCCATTAATGTATGCACATCACATTCTATGACTGTCTGCATATTATATCTTCATTAATGCACAGCTCGCTGACCTGTCTGTACGTTATTATATCCTAGTAAAAAAATAAAAATAAAAAAAACAATCTTAGAATATCCACGTTTAATATCTTGGAGATATGTGATCCTGCATGATCTGTCTGCAATTTATACATCCAGCAATAGCTTTGTGTTCTATAAATTGTTTGTGTAGATGGAGCAAGAAAGAGAGAGAGACAGACAGACAGACAGACAGACAGTCAGATACATAAAGAAATTCAAACTCTCAGAAACCTGCAAATTACTTAAACAAAGACAATTGTTAAAAACAATGAGTGAATTTGTTTGTGTTTGTGTGTGTTTGTGTGTGTCTGGCTGTCTGCTAGTCAGTCTGATGTCTGGGCTTTGCATTTAAAACACAGATTAAGGAATAGCTCACAAACAAAATGTTTTAAATTTTATGAGGCTACTTAAAATTTCCTATCTCAGCAAAACATATATGGGGATTCAGTTCCTCCATATGGCCATATCCTGTTACACCCACCCCAATATTGGTGGATCCTAAACTAATTTTAATGTGGGATACGATTTAAATAGTGCTGGTGTTAAATTATCATTATTATTTTATTATTTATATAGTGCCAGTACAATGGATGGACTAACAGACACATAATTGTAACCAGACAAATGGATGCACACATGAACTAATGTGTATATAATTAATCTGTTGTAAGAGCATTGTGAATATATATATATAATGCTTTATTAATGTGATAAAAAACACAAATAGAAAAACTGAAGTGTCAAAACTAAACAATTAAAGTGATAGTGCTTTCATGTATATACTCACAATGCATATCATATATCTGCTCTATACGGAATGAAAATTATAATAAAAGTGGCATTACTATACAAAAACCACCTCAAATTTATACTTTCCTGTCGTCATCTCCAAAGGGGGATCTGAAACTAGGAGCCAGGTTGGGTGCTTAACCCAAAAGGAATTAGGCCTTGACTTCAAACTTACACAGTAAAAAAGAGAATTGGGGGCACACCCCAGGGCTTTGTATTTACACAAGGAGTATGCCTGTCTGCACACGAAGCTACGAAGCTGGTTTGGATGTGTGAAACTGCAAATACACTGCAGGGGTTTTTAACTTTAGTGTAAATTACTGGGATCTGGGAGCGAATTTCAGGATTTAGGCCAAGCTAGCCTAAATTAAAACATAGCTGTATTGAAGAGTTGTGACATTTCTGAAGTTTTAGCCTGAAAATGTTAATTTACTTTGAATTCACAGATTTGTCCATTTGATATGGCTGTTTTCTGATCTGAGTATACTGATGTGTTTATTGGACAGTGAACTCATGTGCATATTATTTGTGATATGTAGGACTATGAAAGAACAGATTTCAGCCAATTCGAAATTATCCAACTAGGTTGCCTTGAACGGACAATGATTTGATTTTCTATGTTTGATGCTGATTGGCTGTTAAGTTATACTCAGTGACAGTAGATATTTCTGAGCAGTAGCACAGCAGCCGTTTTGAAAGCTGTCGAGGGCCTCGCCAAGGTCCACCAGTGACTTTCCTCTAGTAATTTGCCGAAGTACAAAGTTACTCACTAAAGTGCTAATTATTGGAAAGTCAAAGTGAATTGTGGGCCACAAATAATCCAAGTAAGATACATTCTGAGTTCTGCTATTTTGCCCTAAAACTCAACATTTACTTTGCATTCTCAAGAATTCAAACATTAGTAATTAATTCTGTTTGAGATTTTCCTCCTAGATCAAAATTTCATCTTCCATTGTTCACATTCATTGCAAAGCCAGCGCTATACAACACTTAAAGGGCTACTTATTAAAGAGAGAATTCAAAGTGATTTAAGGCCAGAGTAGCCGAACTGAAAGCGTAGATAACTTCGAGAATTTTTCACGTTTGTCTATTTTGATCTTAAATTTGAAATTCACTTTGAAGTCTCACTTTACTTTTTGTCAATTAATATAATCCCATGTGTGAAAAGAGGATGAGATAACAGTTAACTGTGATTGAATCTCTTCTGATATGGTAGAGAAACGCAGTTCCTTAGATGAGTTTGTCACATCTCGGACCCATTTCTGTGTTATCATAAAATATGTAGATGTCTTTGAACAGTAAATGAATTGATGTATTTATTACTACAGTCATTTTACTGAAAAACTGGCAAGCTTTGAAAGCTGTAATAAGATAGACCGGGGTTTCTTTATCACTCCAGATGTTGTGGACCACATCTCCACTGATGCTTTGCCATCATTATAGCTGTAAGAGAATTATGGAAGATGTAGTCCACAGCTGGAGTGCGAAGGTTGTCTACCTCTGATATAAACAATAAGAACAGTGATTGTGCATGGAAGAACCACAGTAACGACCTCAAATATCGGCAATTAGCTTGTTTGACAGAGGTTAGTTCTAATACAGAATGTTTGTCAGCAAGATCCAGTGTTTCAGTGTGAGGAAGGAAAGGTCAGCCAACAACAGTAGTGAGTGATGTGAGAAACTGAGACAATGTATTTGCTTGTGTTGGGGATTTTAGATTTGAGGCTCCGATTCCCTGATGAGACATCTGAACAGACAGAAGATCACCGGTCAACCAATAGGCCTGGAAACCAAACACTAAACCACTCTTTAATAGCCCTTATCATACTGCCTCAGTAATGGAGGGGCAGTGTTGGGGAATGTAAAGGGCACCTGTTATGCCCCAAACAATTTATGCTCATTAGATTGAGCATACAACTTTAAGATATAAATTGTTCTAGCAGTTTTGCTAGCAAATGTACAGATTAGGAGAAAAACCTATTTAAAATAGTTTTTTTTCTCTGAGCTGTCAGTCAATGCCTCGGCCTCATATATAGTGTTTGGTCATTGTATAAGGGAGGGATTTCAGGTAAATTCATTTTTTCATAACCTCGTTTTAAATCTCACCCACAGTTGCCATCTCCCTCCCCTTCAATTGGAATTGATGTTACTTTGCTAGATATTTTCACCAATATATTAGAATAAGGATTTCAGCTTGTCTGATAGTGTATACCCATAATAGGATATCTTTAAAGCTGTGTATTCTATACTCTCAGTGTTGCAAGTTGCAACTCCCATTATCCTCAATAGCCTTCTGCAAGTCGAGCTCCTGGGAGTATGACACATAATATCCAGCCATAATGGATGTATTTATTTACTGTTTTCTTCTCACATGCTGGCAATGCACTGTTAGAAAATGAGTTGCATGGAAAAAAGAAATATATTTTTTAGCCTTTTTACTAAACCCAGTTTATGTTTGCCTTTTATAAATTAAAATTACAATAAACAGTGTAATGGTATGCTTTGTCTGTAGAGTCCGTTATACGTGTAGAAACAGAGGATTATGGTAAATGTAAAATCGTATTTGCATAATTTTGCAAGATATAGAAAATCGTTAAATTTGACATTTTTTTTTAACTGAGATATATGTTTAGATCGTGTGTGTTTTGTTTTTAAGTTACCACAAAGTTTCTACACTAAACCATGTTAAGTTGTTTTCTACTTAAAAAAAACACAGTTTGTGTTTTTCCCCTAAACAGGTGAATTATGATAAATTAAAAATAAAAGAACCACAATGTTTAGGTCAAAACAGTTAATCCAATACAAAAATAGGGGATTGTGAGAAATTATCTCTTCAAAGTCATGGCCTTGCATTTACAATTTAATTTTAGATTCATTACAATCTAATTGTTACTATGTAAGATACAGCAATTTGAGCAACTAATTGCAAAAGAGTCAAGTTTGATTGATTATTGTCAACTTCGACAATTTTGCCTTAAATCTATATATTTACTGTGCACTCACCACAAATCACTCTTCAGTCAAAAAAAAAATCCCAATTATATATGTTTCTTTTTGATGGATTACAGATTATAATATAATTAATGAGTGATGTGAATAAGTATCTGCTTATTTCTTCGAATATCTGTTGAAATAGTTTACAAGGCAAGAACAGAGTAAAAGGTGTAGTGTTTTTATAAAGAAAAAACCTGAAAATTAATCAGTGGTAAAAGTTAAAAAAAGCTTTCCCCATTGGCCTATTTAATATAGTGTTTACATGACCTCACGGTTTAGCTTTGACCCAACTAGGATCAAGTGGACATTCCGGCCTGCCTAAAGAGACACTACTACTAAAAGATTATAATGATTCATTTAAAGTGAACTCTTAAAATACCAAGACATAAAGATTACAATTTACTATATACTCCTATTCTTTCTTTTTTAAAATTAATATGAAGTTAAAAAATAATGTGTTTTTAAAGTCAATTTTAAAGATAATTTGTAACAGGAAAGAGATGAGTTGGCTCCTCAAAAGAGTTTATTTACTAAACAATGATTTTTTTTTGTGAGTTTTAAAGATAAGTAAAAACTAACTAACTGCAATTTTTTGGCCTAACTTTGGATGTTAGTTTAGAACAGAGGTGCCCAAAAGGTAGATCCCCACATGTTGTAGAACTACAGCTCCCATGATGCTTTGCATGTCTTTAGAATGACAAAGCATCACGGAAACTATGCACTGAGCACCCCTGGTTTAGAACTTATCTCATCTGGACTCATAATTTAGAGAATACACCCCAATGTATGGAAAATAGTTAACCCCTTAAGGACAAATCATATAATATTTCTATCGTAAGAAGAATCCTTTAAATATCATGTATCAAAATGTAACGTCCCAGTCATTTAACTGTGTCAGTACCATACAGATCTGCATACACTAAATAAACATGACATTCTACTGGTATAGCATACTTAGAGACCAAACTGTGATGACGATGTTCTTAAGGAGTTAAAGAAATATGAGAACAGTGAGTTAGTGCATGTAAGTGTAGAGCCAACTAAGTCACTAATCTAGAAAACCTCTCCAAGTCAGCTATATTCACCACTTGGCTTTTCTAACCAAAATTTTGCAATCTAGTTTTCAATTTGGTATTTTGTGAATAAACCACAAAGTGTTGACTTGCGATGCTGTATTACTCACGATTCCCAAGTGGAATCTACTACGTTATCTGCTGCAGCACAGTTCTCCAAGATGTTTTACTGCGAAGTGCATAAATCAGAATTGCCACGGGGCTTATAGGGCACTTACTCTCGATAGCACATCATTGGCACTCTCTTCAAATTGCCCTCTGAAACTTCAAGGTGGAGCAGGAGACTTTGAGGGTGGTGGGCCATGCTTTCTAATTGTTTTTAGCTGCTCCTTATGTGGTGAAAGATACAGAACATGGAAAGGGAAAAATCTAATTTAACTTTTTTTTTAACTTCATGTTTTTAAATTTGCCTTTTTTTTCTGGAATAAAATAACATTATACTTTTTTGATGAACTGAAATAATATAGTAGTCAATAAATGTTTGTCTTTTCATACAACCTAATGATGCATGCTGTGGATACTAATGCTTTGTCTGCACACAATGATAAAGATGTTTATGGCCTATTATTGTACTTACTGTAGACCCCAGTAGGGGTTTTCAAGCAAAGAGCCGTTCAGAAGAATTCTGAGTATAGACGTAATACCTGAAGAACGCACTCTCGCACTCTTTCCAGGGGACAATTCTCTAGTGTCCCCAGATGTCCCCAGGGGAACAAATCTGGGACAGTGGGACGAGAGCCTGTAAACGGGACTGGCCTGCATAATCCTTGACTTTCAGGAGGCTTGTCTCTAAAATCTACAACATTAATATTTGTTGTTTGAAAAATCTTACATAAATATTTTTAAATACAAATCTATATTGTGTGAGCTGATGGTTGTGAAGGTTGAAGAATCTTCCCATTCTATAGAGTTACTGTTGAGTAGATGTATTGATTACACAGTCCTACTTATCTCTCAATAGTCATACTAATAGATGTAATCAGCCATAGGTCAGCCAGTAGCCAAGTCACACGGTGAATTGTGACAAAAAAAGGACGGCTTAAACACAGGAAATCTATTAAAAGTCTGACAAAGCCTCACTGAGTCTTTACACATGAAGGACCATGAGATAAAGTAGAATCTACATGTATAGAACAGTCACTTCAAATCCAGACACCAGAAGCAAAAACACAACATATAGACAGAATTTGGAGCAGAATTTTATTATAAAAATACAATTGACAAATATGACACTAAACTTAGTATTGCTGAGTATTTAAAGTGAAGTTCAAATTTTAGGTCCACCAAAAAAAATATTTAGAAACATTCTCCAAGCTATTTCTGTGTTTAGTTTGGCTATTTTCACCCTACATTTGAATTTTTTACTTTGAATTCTCACTTTTTTTCCTGTAAACAATGACATTAACAGAGTTATTCACTAGAGCAGTGATAGGCAACTGTTTGTAAACTGGGTGTTATGGACTACATCTCCCATAATGCTCCTACTGCTATTATGCATCAAGGGAGATGTGGTCCGTAAAATCTGGAGTGCCAAAGGTTGCCTACCCCTGCCCTAGAGAATCTGTTTAAAAGATACGTCTGGAACACAGGCTCTTTTGGACCACCCAGTGCAGGAACACAGTTTAAATTATTATTTTTAAGTCATAGATTCCAGATTTTTTTTATTGTTAGCAGCAGTGGCACTGAAAAGAGTCAAGAATGGCGGCGACTCTTATTTCTTGGAAATGCCCACGGTATAATGCATTATTACAGCTTTTGTCTAGAGGTTGGTTTGGTTTATGGCCTTGCCATTGCTGGACTTGACGATGTTAAAATGTTGGTGGGCATCTTGTTTGTCAGAAATTGTGGCATTGCAAGAACCAGAGAACTGCAGGTGGGCTAAGTCATCAGATATAATTAGCATTTTACGAACATGGGTTGCAGGTGCAAACTTAACAGATAATTTAGTAACAATATCCCCTTGAGTTAAATGTGTCAAGGTTTTGTGACACCAGCTACCTGTCTCCATGCCCAACGATATAATTTATAAACTTTGCTGCTTTTCTTCCAAGTAGGTATATATGCATATTCTTTATTTCTGTAATTGTCATTCAAACAAATAATCGTTTGATTTTGTGTGTGAGCTTTCCTGCATCTACGTCATGCTTCTTAGAAATTGCTATTTTCCCCACTAAATTATTAATTATAGGGATGTTAAAATTTAGTGTAGTTTTAAAAATGTAGACAAAATTTGCTGATTTGGAAAAATTCACTAAGTTATAGTAACAGTTTGGTTAATTTTGGTTTTCAATTACCCACAACTGACATATAAAACACCGATTGAAAGTCAATAAAACAATAGTGCCCTATTGATATTAGATCTCAGACTTCAGGATGAAGTATCGCAGCTAGAGCCTATGGTATGAGGAAGGGATTATAATAGTCTTGGAAGGGAGAGGCCGCAACTCTCAGCATTTTCTACTCTACACAACTACACGGCTGTCACTCCTTAAGATGAAGTGAGCAGTTTATTTGACATTTATCAGCTTGTTTGGTGATGAAAATTCAGTCCTTTCAAGCAGGTGGTGGATCATTCTTTTTCCTGTTTCATGTTAGTATCTACTTCGAACAGGGTTGGGTCTTGTTAACCCTGTGTCTTCTTTAAAATAAACCTGTTCCGTAAAAGAACACTTTAATCAGCAGAGACATACACCGCCTGTATGTTGCATCATTTTAAACAAAATGTTGTACACCATTTGTTGCTAAATTTCTAGTGAAAAATACCAACTTATAATCGTCTTCCTTTTTCCTGATTTCAACAGCTCTAAAACCTATAATATCCAAAAGTTAAATGTGTTGAATTGAAAACCAAACTCTAGAATTCAGGCCAAACTATTTGAGCTGCCAAAATAGCTGATTTGAGGACGTTTTACATTCTATGTCTGTGAAAAATGTACACTTTTTTTTAAAGTAAATAAACGTTAGCATCTGATAATGTGCCAGATATGTAGTCAATCAGAAGATCAACGAAAGGTACTGGCAGAGAAATAATTATTTAACACACTGAGTAGTGGCAAGTTGATATTTGACTTTTATGCGTTACGCCATATTGATATACAAATGACAGAAATTCATCAGGTTCAAACTTTCATCTGTTTTTTCAGGTTGGCCATCAAAAACTAACCATTTAGTGGATGCAGTGGTGTATTGTGGATCTGTGCTGCCCTAGGCATGACGGAACTCGGGCTCCCCCTAATTTAAATGTGCCCCACCCCTTCCTGTCAACGCCACACCTCTTCCTGATAAAGACTAACACACACTTTGACTGACAGACGCGCAGTCTCACAATCACTGACACACACAATCACTGACATGCGCACACAATGATGCAGACATACACACACACACACACTCAATCACTCACTGACACACACACACACGCACAGACACACACACTGACAGACATACACACTCACTCACTCACAGACAGACAGACACACAAACACACACGCACACACAATCACTCAGACACACAGGTGCCCTCACAGACACACACTGACAGACATACACACACACCCACACACACACACACACACACACAGACACACACACTGACAGACATACACACTCACTCACTGACTCACTCACAGACAAACAGACAGACAGACACACACACACAAACAATCACTCAGACACACAGGTGCCCTCACAGACACACACCTGACAGACATACACACACCCACAGACACACACACACACACAATCACTCAGACACAAACACACATTCACTGAAATAAACACACTCACAGACACACACAGTCACTCACTCAGAGAAACAAACACTCACTCTCACACACACACAAACACATACAATCACTCAGACACACATTGACACACACACACACACACACACTGACAAACACATACACACATTGACAGCCAGCCAGGCACACACACACATCCGCCCCCAACACTCACAGATGATTTTTTAATTTAAATCCACCCAGCCTCTCTACCTTTGAGAGAGCTGGGTGTATTTTTTTACCTGGGGTCAAGTGGGGCTGCTGGCCAGGCTGTTGTGGAAGGCAGGCGTGCAGACAGTTGGGCGGCAAGTTGAGGTCCAGGCGGGCAGCGAGGGAGTGCTGATTTGTGAGCCCTCCCTGCTCAGCTCCCTCACACGCCGCAGAGTGAGCTCACAAATCAGCACTCCCTCGCCGCCCACTTGGGGCTCAGTAAGCTGCCTGCCACCAGGATTTGTGGCAAATACAGCACTGAGTGGATGTACTCTAAAATAAAAATGATGTAGTATATTGATGAACGTTAAAGGGACACTATAGTCACCAGAACAACTATAGCTTAATGTAGTTGTTTTGGTGACTATAATCATTGCAGGCAGGCATTTTCATGCAAACACTGCCTTTTTAGGGCAAAGTCAGTGTTTATATTGCCCTCTAGGGGCACCTCCAAGTGGCCACTCCTATGATGACCACTGGAGGTTCTTCCTGGGGCAGTGCTACACAGTAGTGCTGAATTTTCCTCATATAGATGCATTGATTTAATGCATATCTATGAGGAGGTGCTGATTGGCCAAAACAGCTTTGGCCCTGCCCCAATCCCGCCTCCAATCGAATAAAATAATAAATTCTGATGACACCAAGGAAGTAGATCGGGGCAGGGCCAACATTGGCGTATCCGCGTTGCGCTGGAAACAAGGTAAGTTTTTTCCTTTTCTAATGGGGTTTGGAGGGGGGGCAAGCCACCTAAATGGTGGATTAAACCCTATAGGGTCAGGAATACATGCTATGGTGTTCCTTTAATTTTTTTTTTAATTTTATTTCCTTTTGAAAAACATATCGCAAATGTCTGACCTTTGTTCATGGAAATGTGGCCAACATTTGGAGGATTTTATACATTTAGCAAAATATAGCATTAATAATCAAATTTTGCTACAGGCACAGAATGCGTTCTGTAATTGGGGCTACATAAAGGTCAGTTATTGGTGCCTGTAGGAAGGGTGTGATGTACTGTTCACATGCCACAATGAATTTTGTGAAGTGTAGTGACATTAGTCATTGTGTGTTAAGTAAAATAGCAGTGAAGGAGTGGGCAATTTGCTTATTAAAAAGGAATTAGGTAATATTTTTTTTTTTTTAAATATGTCACCTAATTTATATATGTAACCTAATTTAATAGCATTTAATGTATATGTAATACATATATTTCTAAACACAAAATTGTCGTGAATTGGAATCTCCATTGCAAAATTCAGGATTAGATAACTGATTGGTGTTTGCAGCCAAGTTTAAGATTATCTCCAATATCGGACATTTTGGCTTTTATTGCACTAAATTCTTTGTTTAGTTAATAACTACAAGGAAATACTCAGATTACTCTTAGTCACGTATTACTTGAAACTAAGCAATGTATAATTTGTTTTAAGACTTGTGGAGTTTAAAAAGTGGTGTAAACTTGAACTGAATATTAATAACATAAAGGGTAAATACGTAACCCATTTAATAACTCTGTGTGGTAATAAATAGAGCAGCCAGAGTACAGCAATCACATGGTTTGAGAAGTAAGGACACGTAGAAAGAATCAAGGTTCTTCTGAGCAGGAAAGCAGGAGAACTCTGGGTTATTGTTCTGGATCTAGAATGCTATATCTCTTACCATCTCTTACGAGCCCCAAATATTTTCTCAATGCCATTTTGAACAAAGATAACATGCCAACTACTGGTGGATAATAGTCATGATTTGTGGTTGATCTGAAAAAATGTTCCTCTTAGTAAAGGTCTTGTGTGAAATGGAAAAGTATGTCCTCTCTGTCCGATGTCCATAACCTACACCCAGGCCTTTTGATTGAGATATTTCAAGTATGCCCTTGATGTGTGTTGATATTTATGTTGAACATGAAAGAAGATGAGTTAGCCTTTCACATTAGACACTTTAACTTTTATCTCTGCTTTGGTACCAGGGAAAAAGATATATTTCTGATTTTGCTCCTTTTTTACAGTCATTGTAAGTGTTTTGTAATATTTTAATCAATGCTTTAGTGGTCTACCTATTTTTTTTTGAATTGCGTTATCTGGAAGAACATTTTCAGATATCTAACTTGCTTTGGCATATTTTAAGCCAAAATTAACCAACTGGAAAAAAAAAACAGCTAAATTGGAGAATATTTTATATTGGCCAAAATATTGGCCATAATTTATAATAAGATAGTCAATTCCTCCTAAATTCATAGTTTATTGAATAAATCCTTGTCAGAAAATTCCATGGTGGTAGTCTTAAGGAGTAGTTTGTGAATGATTGAGAACAGAATGACAATATGGAATATATCTAGATAATATAGGGATATATCTAGATGTATTGGGCAAATCAGCAGGAGTATTCCATTGGTTTCCATGGTGATTGTTCCATGCTTAGACATTCTTTATACATATTGTCAATAGACCTTTAAATATTCAACATTTAACCTTCTCCCTATTATATTTCCCATCATTTAGAATCTGGGCGAACAAAGGTTGACACAAACCAGGTTTATTATGTTAAATGCAAGATATATATTTCTAGCTTTCTCTCATTAGGTTTACATGTATCCTTCAATGGGCAGCCCCCCAAACCCCCAATGCTTAGTAAAACCAAGCTACAGAGGGAAAGGTTTAACTGCACATCATTCATTCTGCATGATATGAGATATATTTTGCCAGAGAGGATTTTTAATATGTACATTCACCTTTCACAGGAACTTAATTGGATACAAAGTTTTTTAGTTTTTTTTTTTAGTTTATTGCCTATACAATATTCTCTTCTTTTTCATATTATTAGTTTCATGATTCTGTCTTCCCCCTCCATTACTAAAGTGACCTTCTGTTAGAGCTGCGGATTCTGCTTAAAGCAGCATGCATTGGATTTGCAGTATAAATACTTTGGTTTGTCCTACATGATGCTAGGTTACTGCTGAAGGATTTGCAGTGACATCAGACTGGATGGAAGATGGCACTATATGCGTGGCCCCCTCGCATGGCCCCCCTCGCCTCTCTGAATATTAATGTCTCCTGGCAGATTGGATAATTATGTGACTGGGAATTGAATGAAGCTGGTTATTAGCTGCTGAACTACCACTTACTCTTTAAGCATACTGAGATAAGGTGTTATTGAGTTCTGAAATAGATATATATATGTGTGTGTTCTGAAATTGGCACATATAGATATATGTGTGTTTGTATGTGTATTAATATTATTGTATGTATCATACAGACATATACATGTATTATATACATAATAATATAATAATATATATATATATATATATAAAAAATATGATGGAGGTTTGTTTCTGGAATAATTCCATTTTAATTTTTGGCATTAAACAATTTACTTTTATTATACAGTTAATATTTTGCAATGATCAGTTTAAGAATAACTGTATTAGAGCTCTAAATGTAAGACAGAAATATTTTGAAAGTGAAATGAATCAAATGGATCAATTTCGTAAGGGTATATAAACAGAATATTTAAGAAAATATTTGGGAATGCATCTTGGGACTTGTAGTTCCTAGACATTATGAGAGCTGTAAATTCCTTGGCCTACTACAAGCTGCTGCTACAAGACAGAAATAAAATAATAATTTCATATATTTACCTTTAACATATTATTTTAGTAAATATTTAATTTATTATCCCAGCCCTTATAGGGCTGGTGGGACAGCAAATCCCCAGTTAGCATAAAAAACTGAAATAAAATCTAGTTTGTTGGCCTGATAAGGACAACTTATAAACATGAAAACAATGTGTCTTTCACAAACAGCTAATCATATCAAGATTTTAAAGTATTATTGAAACAAATTGACTCATTCTCAGGGTAAAGACCCCTCAGACATGTATAGTGTGTTCTAAGAAAACTTGTGATGTCACCTATTGGCTTTGCATTGGGCCGTCAGATCTCAGATGTCCTAAAAGAGAAACCTGCATATTGCCCTGTCTTCTAGAGCTGTTATACAGTAACAGCATCGGGGATTGTCGTTGAAGCCTTTTACCGTGGTTGTTGTTTCTAATATACATGTGCCTATAGCTTTATTATGTTGAACAGAGCCTGATGTCTCATTGGACCATTGGTTAAGGACATGGGGTTAAATGGGCAGAACTTCGCAAGTCAAGGAGCAGAGTCAAATTACAAGGGTATATTTGTGCCTCACCATTGTTAAACATCACCAGCTGCTCTTGCATATTAGTAAATGCATCTTTTCAGTACATCTCTTGGCTTACCCTTGCTTTATCGGTGTGGCTATCTTGAGTGCTCTTGGGTTGGAAACACTACTTATCTGACCAAAAACGGTGCAGATAATTAAAAGCCAGTATGCAATTATAAATCCTGAGATCAGATACAAGTGTCAGGCTTCTCAAAAAATTACTCTGGGGCAATTTCAAACTTCCCAGTGGTGTATGGTCTTAGCAGATAAGTGGTGCTTCCATCCAACAAAGTCTAAATATGTCACTGCTTGGCTGGGTGGTAAGAATATCATTAACTTTGCTTCTAATAAAGAAGTGTCACTTTAAAGTATACAATCCAGATTTGTTTCACTGTCCTGCCTTATATGTTTTAATATCTATTTTCTTGAAAAACATATACTGTCCAATATGTGGCAAAGTGACCATTAAACAGTGGGCCATCACATTGTCTACAGCAGGCATTGGCAACCTTCGGCACTCCAGATGTTTTGGACTATACCTCCCATGATGCTTTGCCAGCATTATGTGTGTAAGGGCATTATGTGAGATGTAGTCCACAATATCTGGAGTGCCGAAGGTTGCCTACCCCTGGTCTACAGCATGAGGAAGGATCTGGAAGTGTCTGCATTCCCCACCATTTATTACTATGCACATGGGGTTCTGAAATAGGTGAGGCCAATTTTTGGTCCACCACACCTGGGTTAATAGATTCGTAGGAAGTCCAAAGGACCCTACATGTTTAAAATCTACCAATGCCACATTTTGTATTGAGAATGAAGAGGCAGATCTAATATTCTAACTATTTGCATGATGTAACCTCATTGCTGCCAAAGTGCCTTTTTTTGTTTTAATTTTTTTCACTCAGCTCCCGACTTTGATTTGCTTCTCTTTGACGACCGACCTGTTCAGCTCAGCTGTCAAAGAGGATTTCAGGCAGTCAGCATCAACACAACAAGCTAGTTTTAACTGGCTTTCTTTCAAGTCGGTTAAAAAATTATTTTTTATATACGCTGAAAAATCTGACTTTATAGTATAGATCTCGTAAACTCTTCAACATCTGCTCATATGCATCATATTACCTATAAGTGAATTATTTCCACACTTAAAAATGTTTCACTGACAAAAGGACTCAATATGTAAGAGAACTCGAATGCTAACAAACGGTGTTTGCAGTGTGTATTTTCTTACGGATAGCAAATGTTTAAAGTGAAACCCAAACCTTTTCTCTAAATACATTTCAACTTAAAATGCGACAACCGGTGTTGCTTTACCCAGCAATTCAAATGGCTTGCAAACTGCATTCATAGCTGCCGTGTAAAAAATGAAATATCAACTGATTCAAAGAATGAACAAGATGTCTCCACATGACAATATCTTGCTAGAATTTGCACTGAAGATAGGAACACTCATTTAAAAATAGGTATGTGTATTTTTTAATTGGATATGTTGTGTAACATGTTTAGATTATTGGCAATCTATTCCAGATTCCAAACTGCAACCTAATGCTCCTTCAGTAAATTTATAAAGCAAGACGTTATCCAATCAAATGCTTCTAACAGAGGAACATCGAGGACTCACAGTGCATCGGTAGCAATGTCATAATATACAAATCCAGTGCTTCTGGAGGAAATGCCATTCCTATTGCTGTACTATTGCCCAATGGTCCATTAAAGAGGCAACTGTTGACTATGGCAGTGAGTGTGCATTATACTGTAGCTTGTATGGGTAGGAAAAATCAGAATAGGGGAATGGCAGGATGACGTTGTAGGGGAATTGGAAGTAGGAGGTAAGAGATAGAAAGAAAAAGAAGAAGGGAAAGAAAGGAAAACCAAAATGAGAACTGATGAACTCAACAAAACTCAATGCTCCTTCATTTCCGTGATCAATAATTTCACTTCAGTAAGAAAAGAGGCGATGTTGACCTTGCATAGAAGGAATACATTTAGTGTATGAAGTTGCACAGATCTAATTACTCCATAGAATTCACATAAGACAGTCCAGAACTGAGTTCTGGGTTACCAAGTCACAAAAAGTGAAGATATCTTAGAGAAACACTGCACATAAAGATTCCTACCACCATGACCACTTCTTTTTTTGTAATTCTTTATTTTGTTGTGCATGAGGAATACAAAGAGGCTGACCATGCCACAGCTATTGTCAACTATTAGGTCAACATCAAAAGAGTTTTGTTGACATATCAAAACATTGCACATTTTATGTAATATTATAGATTCATCAAATATTGAAACAACAGTTATGAGTTAAGGCAAACTACATACTGAATCGGATTAACATACTGACTGAGTGTGAGAGTAGAGGGTCTCCACCTCCGCTTCCCCACTTGTGCTGCGCTAGCCATCTGCCCAGGCTGCGATGGTTTGTCTCCGTTCCGTGGGCGGCCGGTTGCAGCTGTGGGTCTTGTCTGGCACTGTTTGGTGCGTTCTCCCAGTATTGCTCCCAGAAGCACTCAAAAGCCCAAGCAATAGGATCACTGGAGTCTGGGACATGCATGGCCTTGTGTCGGCGGCCATCTTGGCTTGCTCCGAGCGGCATTCCTGCTCCGCGTGTACCCTCGGGTCCGGGTGTGGTGAGTGTTGGTTCTTCCCAGGGAGGACCGGAATGACCCCCGCCGGTCCATAGGGGGAGGGTGGGAGCAAGCCCGGGCCCCGCCTTTGATCCAAGAGCATGAGAGCGGCCGTCTCTCCCCACCTCGACCTCCCGCAGGCCGCAACTGTGCTCCGACCTGGAGTGACCGATCGCCGGCCACAAGGCTTCGTAAGTGTTGTTGGGCTGTGAGTAGGTGGCCCGCTGTGGCATTGTGTGCATTAAAGGCATGATTCTAAAAGCAGAAGTGGTCATGATGGTTGGAGTAACCATTTAACCAAGCCAACTCTCCTTTTTGGTCTCTGTTTGTTCTGTTGGATAACTAATATACTCCAACAAATTATTTTTATAACTCAGAATACATTTCTCAGTAGAAAATTAAGGACTTCTCTAGCAGTACCCAAGGAATGACAATGAATTACATCTCACATCTAAAAGTTTATATATGACCAACATTGTGCCCTCCACAAAACTCAGTTTTTATAGTCTGCCCCACATTGGCTCAGTTTTGTGCCTGGCGGTTGCTTTAGTGTCAAACTTTTCAAACTCTACAAAGTTATTTTAATTAGATCGGAGGCAGGTACATTTCAATTATAATTCAACAGGAAATATGAGACCTTTCAAATTAAAATATTAATGAATGCAGAGGTTAGAGTCTGACCCATACATCTCCACAACCCAGATACCAAGAGCATGTATGTAATGTGAAAGATAACGAGGCTCTGGAAATCATACAAGTGTGCTCGGTCAAATTGATTTACATTCTTAGAATATTTATAGTGCTAACCTATTCTGCAGAGATGTATAATTATACATTGACAAGTAATTGACAAACTAAATACTGTTGACAGAAACAGGACATTAAGAAGTTTTGTAAGTTAGTTCACAATCTAGGATGAAATAAGTTAAAGGAACACATTAGGAAGAATTGCAAGTCAAAAGGGAGGAGAGTTTTACTGATATCTGTCTAGTTATGTTGTGTTAGTTAAGTATGAGGTCTGTGACGAGGAAGAGAATTAAGTGGAGTGTGGTAGCCCTGGTTATGTGTGAGGATACGGGACATCTGCTGTAAAATGAAAAGCTACCTAAGTAAATGGCAAGTTTTCCAATAGAGATGAGTTTTAATTAACTTTATTAAAGGACTGGAGACTAGGGGAGAGTCTGACAAGATGAGTTGAAGCATTCCATGGTGTGGCCCCGAAGAAACCCTACAGGTGAGAATCAGTGATGTGAGTGTGAACGTAGCACGCGAGAAAGGTTGTTCTCCTAAAACAGAGTGGAATTGCAATCAATGGATGTTGTTTTAGGAAGATTTGTAAGCAGTGTCAGTAATCTAAATTGGATTCTGAAGCGTTTTGGAAGCTAGTTCAATTATTGACAAAAGGGGTGATGTGTGATATGAGTGACGGGTAAAGATGCATTATTATTATTATTATCGCCATTTATATAGCGCCAACAGATTCCGTAGCGCTTTACAATATTATTAGAGGGGGGATTTAACTATAAATAGAACAATTACAAGAAAACTTACAGAAATTATAGGTTGAAGAGCGCCCTGCTCAAATGCGCTAACAGTCTATAGGAGGTGGGGTATAAAACACACTAGGACAGGAAATAGCAATCAAATTAGGTGGGAGTGAAGCAGAGCTGGAGGAGAGACAGGTATGTGAGGTAGAGGTTAGTCTGGGAGGCTATAGGCTTTCCTAAAGAAATGGGTTTTATGCATCATTACAGATTGTAGTGGGGCAATAATGTCTATGAGTAAGTTCATTAGTAGCAGTGAATGTGAGTATTGTATTTAAGGTGGAAATTAGGGGATAGACTAGAAATGGGGAGAAGCAGTGATACCAGAGTCGAGTAACAGTAAAGTAGTAAACGTAGCATTTGGGGTTCTGAGTGTTTCATCAATCTACAGGTAGACTGAAATGGAGGGGTATTTGTAGGAGTCAAAATAAGAAGTTCAGTTCAGAAAAGATTGTGTTTTAAGATATGGATAGTATTCCAGAGGATGAGAGTTATAAGAGTACCTTGCCTATATACACTCACAGAACAATGTAATATTTAATTGGGTTTTCTGTAACTAGTTAATTTACTTCATGTTTAGAGTAATACATTGGCTTGACCTGGACGAGTCATTTTTAAGATTTCTCTTTTGATTAATTTTAAAAGAATTGTACGTGTCCATATTTCCGAAGGCAAAACCAAAGCAATTCTGGTGCAAGATTCTAGAGCACTGAGTAATCACCATGGAAACAACCTCCTCAATGATGCTCCAAATACATTATTCACTCAAAAATATCCCCTGTTGTGTCTTGATAGATATATTTCTTTGGATGTGTGTTTTTCAAGGCCTTTGATGTTCAATAATGTCGTCCCTGTCATGAAAAAGTCATTTATTAAATGATTATTCAGTCACCTATTTTAACCGCACCTTTTTTCAGCCATCCTTCATTAGATGCCAGTAGAGATATAATCTCCTTTGAAGAGAAAGAATTAAGTGCTGGGGAGAGATGGTAAGACAAGTCAGGTTTTACAGTTGCCTCTGTGACGGTGACAGCTATTCTTTGAACCCTTAAGGACCAATGATATGATATTTTTTAGGCTAACATGATACATCCTTCTGCTTTAGCATTGACAGCTCTATTTAGTCCCGCTGTTCTATTAGTGGTGCATTCCATTTTAGAACAGGATAGTAAAGTCACATTATTCTGATGGCATAGATTGTCAAGCAATCAGTAGAGTACATTTTCCATCTTGTTTAGTAGACATGCGCATGGCGGAAACATTCGACTGAACCATAAAAATAAACTTGGGATGGCTGAATTCTGTACACATGGTTTAACTCACCAGAATTTTGTCTGCCGAAAAGATTCAGAAAAACAAATTAGACAAACCAAAAGTGTTTGAAAATACACCAAAGAATGTACTGACAAAATTTACGCGTACTATAAATATTATGTATAGATTGTACAGTGCACTGATAGGTGCATTTTACTGCCATTTGGTTCCAAGATCAGTTACGAAAAAGTAACCAGTATAGAGAAAAGAAGCAGTAATGAATCTAAATTTATATATACATTTATTAAATATATAAGAATAGATTTTGTTCACTGCTCCTCCTTTTTTCCCTCTGTTTTTCACTTCTCACATGATCTGTGAATAAAATCAACATTAAGTGGTTGTCCCCTAATTACTAATCATCTTTTTTCCAATCAATCATCTTTTTTTTTTTGTGCCATTGGGTTGTCTGTTTCTTGATTAGTCTATATGGCAGTTCGAAAATTGCCAGATTGATCCAAAGTTGGACAAATTGCAGTTTGTAGCAAAACAAATCTTCAAGTTTATTATTTAGGGGTTTCTACAAGTTTAGGGGTCTCCATACTAATATCTCAACTTTATTTTTTATACTTTTCAGTGGCTAACATGATTCTTGATATGCATTATTATTTATCAAATCAGTTTCCCCTCTCATCACAGAAGCCCAGGAGTATATTTATTATTGGCAAAGTAGAAACTGAGCAATTGATGTTTTCTGAAAAACTGTCCCTTTGTGTCTTTTTTTTAGTGAGTTTGATTATTAATCAATAATATCAATAAATCAAAAATCAAGATTTCTGCACTTTGGACCACTCTTCTTGAGTAAATGGCCCGAATTCTCTTCCCAATTGCGAGTTTCAGCTCTCTCCACAGATGTTCGATGTGGTTCAGATCTGGACTCATAGCAGCCACTTATTTTTTCTTCTTATCAATCCTTGGGTTATTTTTGATCCTCCTCCATGTTTCACGGTAAAGATAGTGTTCTTTTGTTTGAAAGCTTCTTTTTTTCCCTTCTGTTATTGTGATTTGCCAAACAGCTCTACTTTTGTTTTGTCTATTCAAAGGACATTCTTCAAGAAGGACTATGGCTTGTCAACATTTTGGCAAACTCCATTAAGAGTTCAGGACACATGGTGCATTAGAGTATTTGAATAAAATGCAAGGGTACCAATACTTTTAGCCACATCTGTATAAGGAGTTGGAGCAGCACTAGCATTGTTTGAGAAGTCAGGTTCCCAAGGATTTCGCTTAGATTTAGCCAGTCAAACACAACCTGAAGTCAAATGTATGTGAGTTGAGCACCGTAAGAGCAGGAATGACAGTAAAGAGAGAAATAATAAGAACTAATTTGAGATGATTGACATATTTGTAAAAATGCAGAGCAATTTAAGTGACGCCAGCTGTCAACTTCCATGCTGGTCATAACTTTAGCAGGTATTAACACCTACATTTTTCATAATTAGGTGTAAATAAAATTAATTTGTTGCAGCACAATTTTAAAATAATTAATGGAAAGAAATTGTTTGACAAGTCTGATTTAAGTATTTTCATTAAATGTATATTTAATTACTATTACATAAGGAGTGTTAGGAGTTGTGTAATGCAATAATGTTAAAGGAAAACGGTATTACTTAAAACAATTACTAGGATGTGTTGTGTGTTCAAAACCCCATCACATGTCATCAGAAAGCAAACCAAAGACAAAAAGCAACACATTTTTTGAAAAGTTATTTGTCACAGATCATTACAAAACAAAAAAATATAAAAACAGCAGTCTGACAGCCTAATGCGGCTTAATTATGGATATTGGAGTTTAACTGGCTAATGTGAAATCACTGTTTAAAACCATAAAATTGTATAGTGATCTATACAAAGAAATCTTGAAAATGTGGAGTTTTGTAATTTACATGCCAATATCTATCTGTTTTAACCATCTGAGTGTCAGATGATGCACGCTATAATAGTTCTGAGATTTGACATGAAGTAGATTTTATAATTATATTGTATGAATGCTTACACAATATATATAAAAACAAACACACAAAAAGACAGTGCAGAGAAGCACTTATTAACTGTGCAAGCTTGGGTAACTGCATTGTTCAGCCAAACAGTCTTATATGTAAAATATAAGTAAAATATAAGCAAGCTAAATTGTTCTAATTCTAATTAAAAAGGGGATCACAATTCCTAAAAATTTTACATTTTGCACCCAGTGGTTTTCAGGAAATTTAAAAGACATATCCATTAAATTACTCCAAAAATGTATGGCAAAATGTGGGCTTATTCATCAGATTGGGAACATGAAGAATATAGAAAGGAATTATTTGTGAAGAATATAGAAAGGAATTGCAAATTTGAAAGTCAAATAGACTTAAACAAAATCTTCTGACTGTTTTGACCTACGTTTTGTAATTCTTTTGTCGATTCTCCATGATTCCTGGTTTGGTGAATAAACTGCATTATTGCACATGGTTTTGTCTAACATGAAGTTAAATACATATACATATAAATGTTTTTAAATTAGCATCAGTATACTTTAATTTACCTCTTTCTACAGAAATGTCCAAACCTTTATTGTAACAATCTCGGTAGACAATATAAACCTTTTTTCTCTCATTACCTATTTAGTATTTGTTATTTGAAGATTACAAATGATTTTCAGGTGCGTATAGTGTCATCTTTAATTTTTTTAATATTGTCTGGAGATCATATTCATCTTACAGAGTAAATTAAGTTGTTATAGTGATCCTAAAGGGATATCACATCTCACACACTTAATGTTGCTTGAACAACCCCCATGAGCTATAGTATGGATGAAATCCTCATTCCTCTTTAAATCTGGTTCACCGCTCAGTTCTGAAGGAGAGGAAATTGTGCTTGACAAATGCAATCATATGCAAATGACTGCAGAAGAGGTGAAATTATCATCTGCAAACATTGGGTAGAAATTCCATCTGCCACCTCCTGAAGAAGGGCTCTTAATAAATTCTGAGACAGCAAAGTGACACACATCTTAATCAAGACTTAATCCCAGGAATTAATTCTATGTGAGTTTGTGCATAATTCCAAAGGCAATGTTTAAAAAAGCCATGGCAGTCTCGCTGGCAGATGGACTCTCTGGACTTCATACGAAGGCATTAGAAAGGCAAAAAACGGAAAGGAGGACCTGTGAAATATTGGTTCTCGCTCACTCATGCTACACATTACGGATCCCTCTGATTTCACTGCTCAGAGTAGTCTTCTGACTGCAAAGGTTGAACTTCCAATTACTAGGACATGGGAAGAGAATACAAATGAACGCAAATGTCTCTCTTGCCTCCGTCCAGGCAATCTGTTAAGTAAAAAAGCCTAGAGAGTGAAAGTCATGCTATGTATTAACTGTTAGTGAGCCATAGTGGAATGTGAGACATATTTACCAACTCAACAAATGTTGAGTTGTCTGTTTAGTGCCTAGAATAGGTAAAGAGCAGTCTCTTTGTTTGAGCAGGGCCCTCAAGACCCTCTGTTACTGTGCGTTCAATTTGTCTTGTTGCAGATGCTTGTCTGTTAGTTCACACATTGTTTTTGGTGCTTTATAAATTATAAAAATATTGATAATAATGAAATAAAAAAATAATTAAGTGGAGAGCTTCAATTTTGGAAATGGTAAATCTAGGTTTCTTTAACAATCTATTTAAAAATGAATTTTCATCAAGATTTAAAAAACGACTTTTGGATAAGTTATCGCCTACATTAATATTTGTCTTTATTCTCTCCTCCAGTAGTTTCTTATTTAAATCACTATGTACAATTTCAGTAAGCAGGGGTTCATGCTGCCCCTATAATACAGTCCATATCATGCTTATCTCTGTGCTCCACTGGCCAAGTAATTAACTACTACCAACTTAAATTGAAATTTCTAGTTTTAGGTTATAATAGCTGCATTGGGAAATACTCGGTCATTTTTAGGAAAAAATAGCAATGTTTTCAGTTTAGCGATGGTGGCATAAAACAGGAAATTTTACAATGAATTCATCTTGAATTACAAACAATTCACACTTTTGTGAGCAATCTCAACAATCTAACAATTCTTACATTTTCACAATAAATTAAAATCCTCCTGTAGTAATGGGTAGCAACGTTCTTTAAAATATATATCTTTTTACTGTTTGTAAATTTGATCAATATCACATTTATACTGTTTTCTTAAAGTAAACTGGTTATCAAATAGTTGATCTCTAGTCAAAAACATTTATACAATTCATGTATGTGTAATAATAGACTCAACTTACATCATTCCATGTTAGATTGACGTTTCCTGGCACCCCACCCAATGTACACATGAGGACTACTTTAATTCTATGATACACTGTAGAAGAAATTTGGTATATATATTATAGAATAAAATCACTTGCTTCCTCGTGAATACCAGGACCCAAGGTTTCCCAGCAGAACATTGCTCAGAGCATAACACTGCCTCCTCCAGCCTGCCTTTTTTCCCTAAGTGCATCCTGCTACCATCTCTTCTCCAGGTAAATTACGCGCACACACACGGCTTTCCACCTGATCTAAAAGAAAACAAGATATATCAGATCAGGCAACCTTAGTCCATTGCTCCATTGTCCAGTTCTTATAATCACCTCCACATTAAAGGCTCTTTTGGCGATGAATATGGATACTTTGACCGCTCTGCAGCTTTGCAGCCCAATATGCAGCAAACTGTGATATACTTTGTGTTCTGACACCTTTCTATTATGACCAACATTAAGTTTTTTTCAGAAATTTGAGTTACAGTAGCTCTTCTTTGTGATTGGACCAGACCATGCATGCATCACTGAGTCTTGGGAGCCCATGACCCTGGTGTCGGTTCAATAGTTGTCCTTCTTTGCATCATTTTTGGTAGGTACTAGCCACTTGCAGTTTTGGAGATGCTCTGACCCAGTCATATAGCCATCACTATTTGACCCTTGTCATAGTCACTCAGATCTTTTCGCTTGCCCATTTTTCCTGCTTCCAACACATGAAATTGAAAAGAACTGACTGTTCACTTGATGTCTAATATATCCAATATATCCTCCAGGTTCCATTGTAACAATATAATTAATGCTATTAACTTCACCTGCCAGTGGTTTCAATGTTGTGGCTGATCTAGGTAAAATGTGCTGATTTACAAATCATCTCATATTCTGCTGTAGTCAAAACCTCCCTATTTTATCATCAATTTTACAATTCAGTTTTCAGTTCAGTATAATTTAGTTAATAAACTCCATTGCAGCTTTCATTTTAAAAGAATCTTCAACTTTTCACTGTATTATCACAGTTTGTTGGTATTAGAAGGTTACTCCAACTGCTACGTGCACTACTGCTTTTAGAAGTGGTTATGGTGGTAGGAATCTGTATGTACAGTATTTCTATTTGAATACATACAGAGATATACTTTTGTGAAGGGGGCTAGTATCCCCCATGTCACACGTGACTCAACAGACATAACAATGGAAGTGTGCCTGCAAGCGGAAGCTTGAATCTCCCTTTCCTTTCTTCTTTCAGCCCTCCCGGCCTCCCTGTAATATTCAATGTGCCTCCATTTCTAAAAAAAAAACCCTCTGCTTTCCTCCCCTGTACACCCATATGGACTGGGGAAGGAAGGAGATAAAGTAGGAGAATGCGCGCATGCACTCTGAGCCTGTGAGATCAGTCCAATCAAATGCTTCTCCTGGATTCCAGATACATTTATTCTTATTTATGAAGGTTTATTTTAAAATTAACTGGGGAGAAGTGAATAATGCCCAATAGGACATCAGAAATGAAAATCGTTTTGCAAAAAACGTTTGGAGTAACCCTTTAAGAATATATTAGTATTATGATAAAATTTTATTGAATCAATCGTGAAAATGTTAGAAGATTGATATATTGAATTTTAAACAACACCCTACATTTGTAAATGGCAGATTATTTTTAACTCTTGCTTGGTATATTGAAATATTTGTTAGATCATTTTTGTTACTAATTGTCAGTCTTCCGTAATCTGTCGAGAAATAGCTGGCTTTGATTAACGCAGTAGTTTTATACACTTGCAAATGTCTACATTTCAGCTAATGAACAAAACATTCAAGGCTCATTTCCAATATTGTCGGTAAATATCTGCTGTAAGCTGGTGTTAATAACAACAGCTGGCGCACATTAGAAGCCACAAGTTTCCAACTTTAACCCCCTACGTTTACCGTCTACCGCTGGCTGGTAACGTCTACTGCAATTAATTCTGATCACTGGATAGTGTTTACCAATGCCCATGTAACAATAAATTACCATAGCAACTGCAACAGGAAACATTTCTAATTAACCCTTTCGGTGCTTCAGTGGAAAGCATGGAAATTGGGCATCTGCTGGGCCATGATCTGTGAAGCAATTTAACAAGCCCAGGAGACTGTGTACCTTCTGGTTCCTGATGTTTTTGGGTTAGCGTTAATGAGTTAGTCACATACCAGGTTAATTGTATGGGCACAGAAAAATGGTCATTATCTGGGCCAGGTTATTACTAACCTTCACCTCTTTGCACATGGGGTGATAGATGGGCTAGGGGCCACTCATCAGGCCTTACCCAGTAATATTGAGGTCCAATGTGGCCTGACTTTTTAATTTAATTTCATTAAAAATATATATTTGTATTAAAAGAGAGAGACAGTGTGTGCGTGCTCTGATTGGCTCTGTCTGTAGGATATATTGGGGCCTTTGCAGTTGTTAATAGTTTTTGCCTATATCCAACAGGCAGAGGCAGGTTTAAAACTTTAAACATTAAAAGAGGCAGCCGGTAAAATTTAGTGACAATCTTGGTTACAAATCAGTAACTAGATGTTAAAAGCTCTCATGGTAGTCTATGGGAGGCATTAATAGTATATTAGACAATAATTAGCAGTCACTATAAGGAGATTTTGTTGCTGAGAAACAACCAGTACTCGCCAAAGTTAGTTGCAGTTACTTTAGTGAGTAACAAAACTAAGCGGTTTTCCTGACACTATAGTGCCCTGAAGGTGCCCCCACCCTCAGGGTCCCCCTCCCGTGGCGCTGAAGGGGTTAAAACCCCTTCAGCAGCTTACCTTTTTCCAGGTGACCTCTCCTCCCCCGCCAACGTCAGCTGAGACGAATGCGCATGCGCGGCAAGGGCCGCACGCACATTCAAGCTGTCAATAGGAAAGCATTTTTCAATGCTTTCCTATGGACGCTCTGCGTGATGGAGGCATTAAATGCCTCCAGCGTCGCAGATGCACCTCTAGTGGCTGTCGAGAAGACAGTTACTAGAGGCTGGCTTAACCATGCAATGTAAACATAGCCGTTTCTCTGAAACTGCTATGTTTGCATCTGCAGGGTTAAAACCTGAGGGACCTGGCACCCAGACCACTTCATTGAGCTGAAGTGGTGTGGGTGACTATAGTGTCTCTTTAATCTCTTGAATTGGTTGTAGTACATGGAGTCCTGTGGTGCTGTCCCTCCATTCAGTGTTAAACCATTTTAGAGCAGTTTAACACTAAATAAGGGTCTCTGGCCACCCACAGTCCGGCCCCTTCATACTGTCCATTAGAGCTCTGATAGGCTAAAAGCAGTCAGCTGACACCCTCAGCCAATCACAGCTGACCATTGCTGCTCAGGCTAACACTTCCTCATTAGCTAAAGCAGCTCAGAGGGGAGGGGCTGCTGGGGAGTCTCATTTAGCATTTAAACATACAAACATTGCAAACGGTTTAATTCTGAATACAATGATGGCTCCAGGGAACTCCAGACCCTCTAATCAGTTTAATGAGATGAAGCAGTTACAGAGCCTACTGTATCCCTTTAATAGGTAAACATTAGCGGTAACACTGGAAACAAGCCCTGTTGGACAAAGGAGGAAGTAAGACGCTATTTTGAGAAACTAAATATTTGGTTTAATAAAAACATAACGTGCAGACATACACCCCCATACAATTATAGCTCATATAATTACTGTGATACACTTAGTGATACATTGTATGCACTTTGAAAATATTAACAGGTTTATAACAGATAAAAGCTAAAAACAAAAGTATCATATGTTTTCTTTTTTTTCTGTATGTTAATATTATTGGATATCACTATAGTATGTACTGCTGGGAAAAGTGCACAACAGGTAACGTGTATTCTCCAAATAAAGAGGATGGTGCAAATGATATGAAAGTGTTAAAGAAGCGATAATGTAGAAAGTGAAGTGTGTAATTTATCAGCAGTGAAAGGGTTTCCTGGGCCTGATAAACAGGTGCTTGGCAAGACAGTTTTGATGAGGGAAAAAATGCATTTGTCAGTTGTGTATGAACTTCTGCACAACCGATCAACATCAACATGTTAGCAACTTTAATGATGTGTAATATCTGTTAAATCGAGATATCCAGAGGTTAAGACTTTATCCTCCTTGGATCTCATCATAGAATTTGAATATGTTTGACCAAAGGCCTGCCCAGAAAAGGTGGCCATCTTATTTTAGCAGCATTACAGCAAGGATTTTAACAATATTGTGCCAGAATCTTATCCTAGATACACTATCTCAACAAAATATATATATATTGCTTGTGGTGCTAGCATGCCGGTCGTAAAGTTTGAGCAGTCATAAAATAAGGGTCCACTGAGCTGGCCACCTGATGACAGTCACCACATTTGGCATATTGATATTGTGAAAGTTTCATTGTCTACGTAGCAACGTCAATTTTATGCGAATTTGGACTGAACTGATATTGAGATGCAGTGTTTATAGTGCTTAGATTGCTCTTTTAATGAAAAGACATTCATGTACAACTACATTAATGTACCCTAATACATATGCACTCACAACAGACACATATACATAAACACACACATACATAAACACACATACACCTACCCACACACAGTGGAGTTAGATTATTACTGCATCCAATTTAGTCTTATCTATTATAGATGGTTGGGTTAATTGAGCTAAACAGTTCCTTTACCAATAAACATTCTAGTTCTGCAGGACCTTTCTGAACATAAAAAAAAATAAATTAAAACATTAAAGAAAACTAATGGAGCTAATTAATAATCATATAAGAGAACGCCCAAAGAAATGGGGATAACCACTAAATAGTCAGAAAACTTGTGTTTCTCATAGGTGAGCTAGTCAGGATACCCTGCCGAGACCAAAGTGGCTGATAGAAATGCAAAAGAAAAATTTATTCAAAACACAATGAAACTTTATTGAAATATACTCTCAAAGCAACACACAACACAAACGCCTTAATTAAAATAGAGGTGGTATATAAACATATACTGACAAATCTATATACAGAACAACAAGGGTACAAAGCACTAGAAGCGTGTTAAACGTAGATTCCACACACACTAAAGTAGAGTGCTATCAGGTACTTAAAGAGCTGGTCTGTTGGAGATGCTTAGTGTTAAAAGATAATTTTGTCAGATTCCTGAGATACAAAGCTCTGATACCTTTGAGAAACACCTTTCTAAAAAAATAAATTGTTCCTCATTTCATATTATTATCTCTACAGCAAGAACTGACATTTTCTTCTTGTGGGAATACGGCAAACTATTGAAGCCTCATTCCTAGGCCACACTTCCTCAGTAAAAGAGCTTTGTTGTGGTGAAGGTGGAAAGTTAGAAGCTGACAAGAAGGATGGCCGAGAAATGGGAGCTGGATAGTTGTGTGAGGTGTTAACTGCCCTTGGATAAAGACACTGCCACATCTTCAGATCTCCATTACGTATTTTGCTCATAATGTTGCTATTTCGGTCTGAATGTCACCTATAAAACCAGAGGTCTCGCTCTCCCAGGGTGCTGCAAATATCTGCTTCACTAGATAATCTTTGATTTATAGACTAGTGAGGCCCAGGGTTTAGAGTGAGTCTGCAATCTGCCTGGGGAGTTTCCAGCCAAGAAACCGTGCTCTGGTTTGGCAGTACATCGGGGAATTTGTGTGTCCAGTAGTGGGGTGGAGAGTGGGCTTAACCCCTCAATTACAAGTAACGCATCAGCTGGGTGTGAATCACTCGGGATGCACGAAGGAAGAATAACCAAATGCTAATAAGTTTGCCCAAACTGAAAAAAATGTTCAATATTGGCATGTAGCTGCTAAATACAAGTTCCATAAACCTTTTTCAGTCACTGTGTGTTTTTGGCTGTTGCAGGTTTGCGTGACTTATAGAATTGTAGGACTGTAGAATTTCTTTTTGCTGGATGTCTTGTATTTGACAACCTCTGGCTTGTCAAATACAAGATGGAAGCTTTACACAGTTCACCATGTGGACTCTGTCATATTATAATGATTAGCATTTATATAGCGCCAACATATTCTGCAGCGCAGAAGGGGGAAAGGGGAGGAGGTGAAGAAAGCCCTGCTCAAACAAGTTTTCAATCTATGAGGATTTGAGGCATGCAGAGGTTCTAACCAGCCAATATACAAATAAACCAGGCAGGAAAGGTAACATTTTTCCATTTTACTGCACCCAGGTAAACAGGCAATTTTTAGCAATACTTTATCTGCAGGCTACAAACTCCCAGCATGCTCAGCGACACCAGAAATGCCCTTCCGATTGTCACATATCTGACAAGAGGTAGCTCACCTATTTATTTTCTGCATTAGATTGTATTTAGGTCAGATCTCCTAAATGTATATAATTCGGCTTAGCACAACTAATAAAAGGACAGCCGTAAAACCATTGCAACTCAACTGTTTCCAAATTCACGTGAAGCCGAGCAAGCTCACACTCCTAATGATCAGAGGGATTTTCCATTGGTTAGAAGAGCTTACAAGTAATAAGACTGGATCTTGAAGGTGTCGCTGTAGGGAGTATTTTTATATTTTTTCTTATAATTATGTGATTTGCAGAACAGTTGAAAATAGATCACAGTGGCAGTATTTGTTTTCATTGTCATATAACGTAGCTTAGAACTCATACTAATTACATGCATTGGCCTCTGTATATAAGCACTGCACACAAAAACATCATGGACATTAACGGACGACCAGAGGGTGAGTGATACCATTAGCAGTCTTGCGGAGCGTAGAAGTGGTTTCATTAGCCCCGTTGCTTGTCACACTCCTTTTAATATGTGCCGTTTCCTTTACATGAACTACATGTAAAGAAGCAAGATAAGTATCATGGGACATATGGTAACTAGTAAAAGTGATAAAACTTATAAAATATAAAAATTAACTATTGCACTGTGGATATTTGCAGAATGCATTCTGCTTTATGCCCAACAATCAAAAGCCAGAGTAAGTATCATAGGTTTTTGTAATATGTAAAAAAAAACTTGTTAATTAGGACATGGGAAAAAGTGGCTAGAAGACAATGGCTGAACTTTTCCTTGCAGGTGTTAGAGGGGCACATTTTCCATTATGACCAGCCAAAACAACATACTGATGGTATTCCACTAATTTTAGACCAGAGACTTTAAGGGCACCTGTTTGTCAGGACTTGCTCATGTCCCAGAAGTTTAACCCCTTAAGGACCAAACTTCTGGAATAAAAGGGAATCATGACATGTCACACGTCATGTGTCCTTAAGGGGTTAAAGAAAAAACCAAAAACATTGAATTAAACAGTTTTGTTTGTTCATTTACGTGCAAAAAATATTATTTAGATTTGCCTTCAATCCCTTCACATTTCAGATTAAATATTTAATTTACTCAATTGAATTATGTTGGTGCTATTTCTCACTAATATATGAATCAGAGGCGATTATAATGTATTTTCCATTTTGTAGTTCACTAGAATGACCTCAGTGTGCTTCATTCCATTTCATACTGTCATTCTTTTTCTTGGTTTCAGACCTAGGTTTCTATTGCCCCATGGATTTCAACCTTCTGACCGATTCTGAGGCACGGAGTCCGGCCTTGTCTTTATCTGATTCAGGCACTCCACAACATGACCACAGCTGCAAGGCTCAGGAACACAGTGGTAAGTAGACATCTGGGACGTGTCAGGGAAATCATCTCACACAAAGTATTCCTTTATCGGACAACGTCCTTGCATCAAAACATTTGTAGGCCTTAATATTAACTGCAGAGTCTGATATACGCAGACCTTTTATTTTAGCAGAAGAAAGCACTGTAAAGCAAAATCCAAGTAGAGAGTTGGAGAGTCATGAAGGAGTTAAGCAACAGTATTATTATTTATTTATTTTCAATTAAATGGGAACATATATTTTAAAAGCATTATTTTAACTCCTTGCCCACCAAGCACTTTTCAATGGAAAAAAAATTTGCATTACATTTATTTAAAGCAAGAAATGCATTGTTAGCATCTAAACATCAAAGCACAGCAATTTTGTGTATTGATTGCTTTGCTGACAAACTTGAAAATTAAGATTACGTAAATTTTGAAAATCTTTATTTTTCACTAATTCAGTCAATCAATATAAATATTTTGGAAATGAAAAACTTTAGACAGCATACAGTGTCTTTTATCTCGCAAAATGACATAGGGTCTGAAATGTTTGTATCAATGCAAAAATAACATTTGTCTCACACATAAAAATACAACGGAGGAGTAAGAAAAATAGATAGGAGTGACAAAAATAGATACATAAAAATGGCCAAATATGTGGTTTATATATATTTGTAAGGACCCTGAAAGCATTACTTGCAGTACATCTTAGTAAAAATGGCAACCAAATTTAAAAGGAATGTCTACATTTGAGCATAATCCCTGCTTACAGTAATAACAGTTTAATCATATATTTCTAAATAAAATTATTTAAAACTGCTATAGCAATCTTTATTAATCTCTGGAATGCTAACAGTGAAATGGTAGAGTCCATTCACTCCTCCCCCTGGTGATACCTCTTCTCAGGTCCAACTACCTATCCTGCTTTACATGCTCCCACTGTCTGATTTATGCTGTAGAAATGGTATGATCCATGGAAACGTCATGTCTGTTTGAAAGCAGGGGGTGTGCCTACATATGCAAACAGACATTATGGCTGGCAGAGAAATGTGTTCCAGTACAGACTGCTAACCATTTCTAGAGTACAAATGAGGGTGAGTGAGAGTTTATTGACTACATTTCATTTTGCTAAATACTACATGTAATTAAAAACATTTATACTCGATTTTGGTGCATAATAATGCCAATAAAATCATGAAATTAACATTTCAAATTAGAAAAGAAGAAATGTATTTTCGTACAAGAGTAATAAACATTATCGGTAATACAAGTGGGTATCGTACAAGAAGTTGAGGGTAGCATACTCCCCTCAGGAGCCCCTCAGGAGCTTACAGGTATGAAAGAAAAGCAATATTATATTCATCAATCAATTACAAATGAGAAGCAGAAAAACAAATACAGACAAAGTCCTTAAGTCATGTAGTCATTACGTATTTTATTAACTTCTGTCAATAATATACCTGTAAGTTTTTCAATATGGTTTTGTATTATTTTATTATTGACATTACAAAATATATTTGTCTATTAAAAAGTGTACAGTTATTTGTCAGACATATCCATTTTACTGTGAACGTAGTGATTCAGAATTGAGTGCAGTTAAGTCTTGTGTATACATAGAGATTTAAAAATTATCTGGGGAAACTTATAACAGCATTTTAGAAATTGGTGGAATCACCAATGAAACCAAGCAAATCATCGAGGACGACGAGGACATTCGATTTCATTTCGTGATCATGGCTTTATTTTTAGAGCTTTGTCTAACTTTTCTGGTAGCAGCATATATATAAATGTCTGCTATAGTTCTATTTGTCATGCTCTAAGTTTCTAGTCGGTGTCATTTGTTTTCCCATGTGGCACTTGTTGATTTGTCATGATATCTATTTCTGTAATGAGACTCCCATCCGTGATGTCTTCATATGTTTTCGTAGTACACTGGTTTTAAAAAGCAGGAGGAAGCAGACCACATGACATGAACAGGGTTATGCACTAAAACAAGAATTGTCAGAAATCGTACAGGAAATTTCACATTTTAACACAGGCTAAAAAAGTATCTGTGTTTCCGAATTTTTCTGATTTGGCTACATTATCCTAGAATTGAAAATTCCCTGATCATTTCCAAATATTCCCCACCACAAGGAATGCATGGTGTCAATAGGTTTCAGCAGAAACTTTAAGTAATATTAATAAATAATTAAGTCATTCAGGGGGTCAGTCTACTATACTGCGCTAGGGTTAGGTTTAGCAAAAGGGTTAGGTTACAGTTCAGGTTACACATAATAATATGAATAATACACTAAATAATTACAATATAATAATTACAGAATTTTATAAAATTATGATTATAATTAATACTGAGATCAGTTTTAACCAATCTGCAGGCTTCAGTTGTGTAATGCAATTTTATATAATTATTATAATTATAATTAATACTAACTGTTTCAGTTTTATAATGAAAATATATCCAATCACATAAATATAAACATTCTTAGTATCTTAGATTTGTTTAATTTAATTTGACAGGTTGATTTAATTATTTATCTAAATTAGAGATTTGTTATATATTTATATAATGGCACCCAGAAAAGTAATGTAATAGTTTATAGTGTAATATTTATTTTAACTAAAGACAAACAAACACTTCCTTACATGTTGTGTTGCACTGAATTTAAAAAAAACCAATAAAAAAAATTCAGTTAATCAGTTACATAAATATTAGGGGTATATATCATGAATAATTACACTGTACCCTTGTCTTGTTATAATTCAGAATTATACCACTTTTGAAGATGTAATAATTATTTTAATTCTCTAAAATTACTCCAGTAGCCTTTTCTCATGATTTTAGAGTTACATTATCACAGCACCCCCTGGTGGTTATTTTAGAATATGATAAAAAAAAAAAAAGACAAATGTTTACATTAATTAGTAGCAGAAATAGAAGATTAACTTGTTAGCTAAATGAAAAACTGATATCACTCTTCGTCTATGAGTTAAATCATGATTCCAGCTGTGCAGTAAATCTGATAGTATAGTCCGCAAATCTCTGCATGCAATGTGAAGAGAAAATTTGCATCCACAATCAGGATGCTCCCATCTCTGCATATATACCATACTTTTAATTGCTACTGCACCCAAAGAGCAGACCCATTTATGCAACATGTGCAGGTAAATAATCAAATGAGAACTCCTCTCTAGACCTCCAGTCTGTTTTTTTTTTTTTGCAGATTCCTCCTGCTTCTGTTAATTATCTTAATGGGTTTGTCACAGTTTATTATTTGACTTATTTTGCTTACCCATTGTACAGTGTAGATGATTGCTCTCTAGATTATAGTCATAAAAAGTAAGCTTTAAAATGTAAGAATATTATCCTGCTTTTTTGGAATCTTTGCTAAACAGGGACCTTATGGAGAACTGAGAATAATCTAAAATTTAGGCCAGCATGTGCTAAAATGTGCTATTCATTTTTCAATTATGTGTTCTTCTTACTGTTTTTATTTTTTATTCCAATGCAAAATACAGCTTTTTTAGTGGAACTCTTTAACATTGGTCTAGTTGGGGATTTTATGCCAATGAAACATCCAATGAAACATTTAAAAAAAATTTTCCCAGTCTGGTTAATAGCATTTCAAGAACAAGAAAAAGTAATGGCAACACTGTCCATGACAGATAACTCTTCAACTATCTGTACACAGATTGGTGCAAGGGAGTTGAAACTCCATATTTGTTCTCCAAGCCCTTCCCGATAACTAAGTCATCTTGAGGATGTCTCGTCATTTCTTTTTCATTTGCCCTACTTATACTTGAGACTTGTTGTCATGCTAAACAGATTTTTGTTTGTGGTTGGAAGGTCCACTCATCAGGCTGTTGGTGGGCAATGATTATTTAATTAGTTTTATATTTAATGTTGGCCTGCTGCAACTTGTTTAGTGTTTTTAACTGTATGTGCTTATGTGTTTATACTTTCACTGTACCTAATTGTAATCCTGTTGGACAGAAAATAACTGTGAAGAAAAAAAGCTAGACAGTCAGGTGGCATCATTAAGTTCTCCAACAGTAGTGCATGAAATGCATACTGAGCTTCTGGTTCAAGCAGAGAAATGTGTTATTTAGACCTTTATATCTTGATAATGGCAGACTTCTCTGGATTATTGACTCTGGCCTCATTGTTCCAGATTATTATCGATTTATCTACAAATAGACTATTTTCGCATGAGTTCACTAAAGGTAATACTGGATAAATTGTGATAGAGTAATTGGCAATTTCACACTGGTGTATAGACAGATTGAGTTGGAAGTCTCGCCAATCATATACATGTAAGAACTCTAACCTCATCCTCACCACTACGTAATAGATCAGTGGGTGCACTTAAACCCTACACTTAAACTCCAAAATATATTACCTTGTGTTTTCATCCTTGTTTTGTTTTAGTGATACAGATCTATCTTCCCTAGATCTGTAGCCCCACATAATTAAGTCGGAGTCTTAGAATTGCTTTGTAACACTAAAAATGCTTTTGACGACAATAATTAGATGGAATGCCAATAAAACAGAAGACTAATGCAAATGCACAGAACATTTGAGATTTTATAGGCGTCATGGCTAATCGTTGTATGGTTAAAATGGGCGCACAGACTAGAAGATAATATTCGTACTTAGACTGGAAGATAATATTCGTACTTAGTCTAAAAGAAAAATGCCATCTCAAACCTCTGCAGTGTTATAAATACCAATGGTATTAATAATATCCCAGCTCACATATCTGTGATACATTAAACTCAATACGTATAGTCAAAGTTAACATGTTGTTATCCAGTCAGAAAATCCTTTTTTTTGTCCAGTGAGTTGTTGATTGTAATAATGGTACTGGATTTCAGGCTAAAAGGGGGCTATTTATACAGAGCAATTCTGGAGCTAAGCTCTAAAAATTGAAAAATCCACCAACATTCCATTGCTTTCCATAGAAGATTACTCAACTTTTAGAATTGTGTTCTTTATCCAAAACATAGATAACAGTCACCACAAAGATTAGTATAGTCATAGAGAAGAACTACTTATTAAAACACTGTTTTTGGTTGTAGTTACCCTTGCTGGCATGGTCCCCCCATAAAAAAAAAAAAAATCCAAACCATTAAAGAGACAAGCAATAAACTCACATTAGTTCCCATTTTGGAGGCCAGGGTCTCCCTGCAGCTTGATCCTCCTCCAGTTAGTAAATACTGCCATTTTATTTCAGAAAATTCCATGAAGATAGCAGGAGCTTTTTAGATAACTCAGAGGTTAAACTGTTGATTACTCTCAGCCTATCATATGCTGCCTGTGAAAACCTTACTCATACTGCAGACGAAGGAAGCTGGGGAAGGGGGCAGCCATGTTGTGTGACATAGGGCCAACATGAAGGTAAGATGGTGCTCAGATATTGCTGTACCCATAGCAACTTCAGTGAGCTGAAATTGTTATTGGGGTGGGAGTGTTCTTTTAATTATTAGTTCCCCTCAGAAACTTCACATATATAACATATACATTATCAAAGTAAAAAGTTATACCGCTATGTACAGTGAGGGAAAAAAAGTATTTGATTCCCTGCTGATTTTGAATGTTTGCCCGCTGACAAAGAAATGATCATAATTTCATAATAATGTCTATAATTATAATGGTAGGTGTATTTTAACAGTGAGAGACAGAATAACAAAAATAAAATCCAGAAAAACGCATGTCAAAAAAGTAATAAATTGATTTGCATGTCAATGAGTGAAATAAGTATTTGAACCCCTATCAATCAGCAAGATTTCTGGCTCCCAGGTGTCGTTTATACAGGTAACGAGTTGAAATTAGGAGCACTCTCTTAAAGAGAGTGCTCCTAATCTCAGCTTGTTACCCGCATAAAAGACACCTGTCCACAGAATCAATCAATCAATCAATCAGATTCCAAACTCTCCACCATGGCCAAGACCAAAGAGCTGACCAAGGATGTCAGGGACAAGATTATAGACTTACACAAAGCTGGAATGGGCTACAAGACGATCGCCAAGCAGCTTGGTGAGAAGGTGACAACAGTTGGTGCGATCATTCACAAATGGAAAAAAATAAATAATTGTCAGTCTCCCTCGGTCTGGTGCTCCATGCAAGATCTCACCTTGTGGAGTTTCAATGATCATGAGAAAGGTGAGGAATCAGCCTAGAACTACAACAGGATCTTGTTAATGATCTCAAGGTACTTGGTACCATAGTCACCAAGAAAAGAATTGGCAACACACTACGCCGTGAAGGACTGAAATCCTACAGCGCCAGCAAGGTCCCCCTGTTTAAGAAAGCACATGTACAGGCTTGTCTGAAGTTTGCCAATGAACATCTGAATGATTCAGAGGAAAACTGGGTGAAAGTGTTGTGGTCAGATGAGACTAAAATCGAGCTCTTTGGCATCAACTCCTATGACCCCAAGAACACCACCCCACCATCAAACATGGAGGTGGAAAGATTATGTTTTGGGGGTGTTTTCTGCTAAGGGGACAGGACAACTGCACTACATTAAATGGACGATGCATGGGGCCATGTACCGTCAAATCTTGGGTGAGAACTTCCTTCCCTCAGCCAGGGCATTGAAAATGGGTTGTGGAGCGGTATTCTAGCATGACAATGACCCACAACACACAGCCAAGGCAACAAAGTAGTGGCTCAAGAAGAAGCACATTAAGGTTCTGCAGTGGTCTAGCCAGTCTCCAGACCTTAATCCCATAGAAAATCTGTGGAAGGAGCTGAAGGTTTGAGTTGCCAAACGTCAGCCTCGAAACCTTAACGACTTGGAGAAGATCTGCAAAGAGGTGTGGAACAAAATCCCTCCTGAGATGTGTGCAAACCTGGTGGCCAACTACAAGAAACGTCTGACCTCTGTGATTGCCAACAAGGGTTTTGCCACCAAGTACTGAGTCGAAGGGGTCAAATACTTATTTCACTCATTGACGTGCAAATCAATTTATAACTTTTTTGACATGTGTTTTTCTGGATATTTTTTTTCTGTGATTCTGTCTCTCACTGTTAAAACACACCTAACATTAAAATTATAGACTGATCATTTCTTTGTCAGTGGGCAAACGTTCAGAATCAGCAGGGGATCAAATACTTTTCGCCTCACTGAATGCACAACAACCAACCATGTGAAGTTTATTCCATTCTACATCAATTTATCTCCCCTCCATTATCTTATACTGAAGAGTTATAATGTAATACAGAGCTTTCAGACATTGATTTTGCGTGATACATTTGTGTTTTAAGAGAATTAAATCATTTATACTGGCAATGGTAACATCCTTTATATGAATTTTTTTTCCACCATGTGTCCTGAACATAATTTTTGCTTTGTGTCCTCACTTCCACATGATTACCCATAATCCCTGTCTCTTCATTATGTGGTGTATGTCAATGAGAGAATACTGCAGAGCTGGAACAGTCAAAGTGCAAAGCAAACATGCTAGTCAGCTCTCTATTGTTACTCTACCATTAGATGAAATTTGACTACTGACCTTCATCACAGAGGCTTATTTAGTGCTGTGTTTTCTTTTCCAAGAAGCTTAATTGTGTTATTTTGTAATCTCCCATAAGATAAAAATAACTTTTATTTCTGTGTGAGTGTTCCCCTTTAAAAGATGCCGAATGCTAATAAATCCACCACGAATATACCGCAGAGCCAAACACATGGGCCAAGTATTTTTATTTTATCCCTAGTACTTAAAGAGGGATATTTAACCCAAATACTTTCCACTGATTTTTTTTTTAAAGGGCACACATAGGAACGTAGACTTTTGCTTTTGCTGCACATTACTTATCTCAATTGTATTAAAATCTGTGAAAATATTATTAACTACATTTCTTAATTATGTTACACTCAAATATTACCTTCATAGCTGTCAGCTGTCCCCTACGTCGTAAAACCACAGTTAAAAATACAAATTATAATAAATATCAAATATTACAGACAATTAATGCTCCAGCCCCCACTAGTATCACAGTTATTTTGACATAGTTATCGGTGCTCATGCAAAGTGTGAGGAGATTTGTAACACAGTGCTTTTAGGGACACCCGATATAAACTTGTGTACATAACTAAAACAAAAGGTAATTTGATAACATGTTCTAATGACTAAAAAAGTTCTGAGACAGATTAGGAAATAGGAATTTGAGCATATTACTCAACTGAAGTAGCCAAACCATTCTACAACAATTTGACTTTTACATGGGGGCATTAAGCCTCTCTGCAGCCTCCAGGTCGGCCAAAAACTCCAGCTAAGGAGGTCCCTTAGCAATCCTTGGCAGTGTAGAGCCAGATCATTGGTTAAGAGCATCAGCTGATCTCTCTCTGCCAATGGGCTAAGCCTTACTCTGGCACCATAACCACTGCAGCATGCTTAAGTTTTCCTATATGCATGATTTTAAATAAGTATCTATCCCTAAATAAACATACATGATTGCAAAATTGAAATGAAAAATTCTAAAAATAAAAAAACAAAAAACCTTTCAGTTATTTTACATATCAGTATCTATAGTAGGGATACATACAGAATTTCTACTGTTTCTCCTTTAGGGCAGTGTTTTCTCCAATTTCTACTTCAAATGTCTTTATTTCTATGACTTTTTAATAAATGCGGACATGGAGTAAGGTTATTAAGATGTTATGAATATGTTACAGTGTTGTTAAAAAAAGAACATGGATATGTGGGGCCTTGGTGACGGGGTTGTAAACAGAAAACAAATGAAGGTTTTAGCAGAGTCAAGGGACTGAGATAAGTTGCATTTTATGATCAATAATACATCTGTGACCAAGTCTTTTGGCCCGTGTAAATTTCTTCTGTTTCCATGTCCAACATATTTGGTCTCACAGAAGGATATTTTATCTCCTCGGGCTGATTTTCCTCAATGATCAATCTTACTTCCATTTTTCAAAGCTTTAGTTATGCAGTTCATAATGACTTATTTTATGAAGATTTTTGCCTCGTCCTCCACACTTCCTTTCCCAATGTCTTCCATTCTGTTGTCCATAGTGGTTTCTTTTACCACTGTTTTGTCTGGTTTTAGGTATCCAAGCCCATTCACATCCATGTTGACCTCCTTGAACAAAGTGTCCTCAAGGTCGTCCAAACTTTATTCCACAAAAGATTCATTATTACTTTGTTGGCTTTCACTGCTGTCTCCTACCATTTTACATTCCACAAATCAAACATTGTCAACCTCACATTCTTCGGAATGGACTTCTAGAATCACTATTACTTTTGTCTGTCAAAAACTATCCCATTTTCACCGCTGATTTCTTTGCTGCAATGTTCAGCATCAATGTCCTTTGGTTGTTTTTCATAAGATGAATTGTCATCCATTAGGCATGTTCATCTAATGGCATTACATCCTATGTTTTAAAGCAATAAGTACATTTTAACTAGATTATTATTAGGAACCTTTAATATTAACAGCTATATGTATAAAAATAAACTGAAAGGAACACTGATAGGAACACTAACAGCAGACTATAATGCATTTAGGATTCATAGATTGGGGATTAGTACTACAAAAAAAAAAACTAAGTTGAATATGGAGGGGTGGAGGGGGATTATTTAGAAGAAATTTTGTGTTCTGAAAAATGTTTAAAAGTACTAAAAGTAGACCAAATAATTGAGGAGAGCAAACAATGAGGTAGGCAAACCTTCCCAGTAGGTAAGAGAAGCACAAGAGGAAACTAGGTAAAAATTGGAATGTAGCATCATAAATGTATTACTATAATGTTAAAAATTGAGTCTTCATATAGCCATAGTACTCACATACAGTTAATACAGTTATTCCAAGTATCTGTACTATGCAGAGCATTTCAGGTTGCTACTGCAGCTTGCTAATAATATGTGTTGTGCGCTGCGTGGCTGCTTGAATTCAGCCATTAAGTTTCAGCTACAAACTTTTTTGTATATTGTGAGAGGAGCAAAGTATGCTGCCATTTACAGTCTCTTGACAAAAATACATAGGAACAGAACTGATCTTGGGGTGAAGATGCCACATGTCAGTCATGCAAACATTGCAGGACTGTTAGGAGAAAGCGTCTGCAATGGCTGGCTGCATGATAGCCGCTAGAGGTGTTTCTTAGAGCTTCACGTAAACATTGCCTTTTTACAGAAAAAAATGTGTTTAGAAATTAGAGGATGGAGGTACAAGTTCTCTGCACAGAAACACCTACATTAAAGCGGCACTGTCAAACCTCCCTGAAAAATTAGTATTTCATAAACATAGGATTTCACTGAAATTCACTAGCTGTCATCAGTGATGGCTGCAGGGAATAGGCACTGACTATAGAGGATCAGTTTGGGGTTTTTGCGAATTCTGCATAGACCTCTATGCTGTACTCTCACCTCAGGAGGGTGAGGTCTACCGGAGGAATATGGATGCTCCCACGAGCGACAAGTTCAGGTAAGTAGAACTCACCTTCACCTTCCCACCCTGGCCACCAGACCCCCAGCGGCGATGTCACAATTAGGTTCTTTGGAAATTCTGAAAATTCAGGGTCTTTGCGAATTCTGCAAAGTCCCCAGTGCCTCTTTAAGATGCAGTGGTTCTGGTTCTTAGAATGTACCTTTAACAAATTGTAGTAAAGAAAAATGAAGGTTTATTTACTAATAAATATATTGTGGTGAGTTGAGAATTGTTTTATAATAGTTTGGATCAAATAATTTAGTATGATTGACACATTTTTGTGTATCATACATCATATTGAAAAAGTAGATAAAGTAATTATATTTATTTGTTTTGTTCTTTGTCCGAGAAATTATGTTATCCAATTCTATATAACCTTTTGATTGCTAGTGGCTCAATTATTGCATTGCTGAGTTATGCAATACACACCCCTCTATACATCAAAGTTCCAAGTCTCGTCAGTGATTTAATTTAAAGCCAGGACTTAGAAAGTGATATAATGTTATACAGATTTGCTAATGGGCCCCTTTGATGTTGGCAAGTTATGAAAACAATATAGGGTCATATCACAGTATTCTTCCAATTATCTGTGAAACACACCATAGAAGACAGTGTTATCATAGCAGGTAAAATATTTCATATTGTCACTGATGGTTTCTATATAAATGTGCATATTACAAAGCATGCTTTGATATGTGAGCTTAGAATGTCTCTCAATTCTGTCTGACTCCTTCCCCTTGCGATCCTTCACCTTGTTTAAAAGGAACAGTGCAGCTTCAGTCCAAGTTCAGAGAACATGTACAGGGTCATTCAATAAAGTGTAAATTATTGGGGATTCAAAGTAAATTCAAAGGGAAATTCACATTTAAAAAAAATGTTTTATTTGTTACATACAACAAAGATGTACATTATGTATGTTGATTGAACATTTTAAATACAGCATAAGGCGATACCAGATATCAAATATTTACAATGTTGTACGTGACAGAGAATTACAGAATAAAGAAAATGATGGATTTAACAATAGTCATGTTTGAAAGCATTTTGCATGGCATTTATTGGTGCTGATTGAGATAGCCATCTTTGGTGCAAATGGTATTGTATGTTAACAAGTGTAAAACAAAAATAAGAGAACACAAAACAAAAACATTGGGACATTTTCAACTTGCCCCCATTGAGTCAAAGGACCACAAAGGGGAGAGTCCCATGCTGCCTGCAGAGTCGGACTGTTGGGGTGTAACCATTACCGAAATGTATATCAGTAAGGATCATCCTCAAAGGGATATAACTTCTCCTATGGAGATCTATATTTATGTGATAGGTATCTAGATCGAGAGAAAAATAGAAGGTTACTATATGAAGTTGTGAATGAGTATGAGAAGAGAAGGAGGAGAAGGAGATTGTAAATTAAGCGTATTTGTGTGTTAAAGAGTAATTAATTTTCTCCATAAGTCTTATAGATTCAACTTTTTTGGATACATCCTCTGATGGAGGGAGCTAGAGGTTTTTTTTTCCCAACAGGTGACAATTTCACATTTTCAACCAAAATAGCCCAATTGGAAAAAAATCCCCAATGCAGTGATGATTTCTGTTTGGCTACACGGGCCCAACATTTGATATTTATTTTATAAGTAATTTTAAATTCCTGAGAATTCACATTTTTGTAAATAATCTGGGTAGAGAAATTCAGATAGCTGTAGATGCCATTGCATATGGCTATTGTTGCTTTCGTTATTCTGCAAACTCTGCATTGTATAACAGACTGCCAGGCACAATTAGTTTTGACTCAATCTGTGAATTTTCTGGTCACTGACCGTGATTTGAGGTAATGCTGAATTTCCCAATCTACAAATCATATTAAATCATTTTAAATGGGCTACTTAAATTTTTTTAATAGTTTTTTCCTGGAGCCACTCTTTAGAATTCTGGGTTGCAGCAGTAAAATTCTCAAGAAGAAAATCCTATCATTATACCTGTGTATTCAGAGTTTTTACAATGCTCTGTTGCATATAAAACAATTTATATTAACTCATTCCTTCTCAATCCAGTGTATATTTAGCCTACATTACATAGTGTGCGCCTGTAGCTCGGCTCTTAATGGTTGTCCAACTAGTGATTGCCAGCAGTGACTGGATGTGAGAATCAGATAATTGCTTTCAACCTTTCAGCTCTGGTATGAGTGGGTATGGCTGAGGAGGAATGTGACTTTCCAGTGGCTGGTCTGCAGGTAGTCAGAGACCCTCATTCATTGTTAAGCCATTCGAAAATGGTTTAGCAATGAGTTGAGGAATGATACCAGAGGACTCCAGGCACCAAAACTACTTTAATTATACAAAAAATATTTTTTTTAATTTTACTGCAATTTATGGCAGTTTTTTTTATTAGTGTGACATGTTATAGCAATGATTTAATGACATCCAGTTAACCCAGTTAATATGTCGATACTGCATTAAAAAATTTTATTTTTATTTTTTTATCACATTAATTTAGCATTTTATATATATTTACAATGCTCTTACAACAGATTATTAAAATACACTTTAGCGTATTTAGCACTAGCACTATTTAATTTGTCTATCCTGCTGGAATTAGTGTAGGACCCACCAATATTAGAGAACTGTGAAGTATTGGTAGGCTTAGCACAATATGGCCAAATGGTGGAACTGAATTGCCGTATTTCTTGCTGAGATTTTAACTAGCCTTCTAAAATGTAAAACTGTATTTTTATGTGTGTGCTGTTCCTTAATCTGTAAATAAGTAAAATCATGGTGCAGAGACTAAAAGTACTGTCATAAATAAATAAATTATATATATATATATATATATATATATATATATATATATATATATAAAACAGATACAATTTGTATCTTGTAATACCTTTTTTATTGGACAGAATTTTTTAATGACAAGCTTTCGGGAGAGCCTCCCTTTCTCAAGTCTGAAGCATTTCTGAGCAAAGACGACACATAGAATTCAAAGTTGAGTTGTGATACAGGGGTTAAAGCGACATAAGTGCAGATAAGACAGGTTTGCTAGAACATAGACACCATTCTTGCAAAAAGGGTCATATATATCGAAAGCAAAGATCACAGGGTATTTGGGGAGAGAGAGACAAAAAACAAGCGAACAGTGCAAAAGATGATGCTAGAATGGAGTATTTATATAAAGAATGCATTAATTCTCATCCAAAAGTTACAGGATATGCATGAAGTCCTATATCCAGCATACACAGACACACGTTCACACTCACACTCATGTACATATACCGGTACACAAGTAGTGCATATGTACAAGTATACACATGAGTCTGGGCTGAACTTATTACATTACATTATTTCAAATGAAAGCACTCCAGGGATCCTGAAGAAAGTTAATTTGAGAACTAAAACGTTAATCTTATATTGGTATACTTTGAATAAAATTTTTTTACTTTTTTACATATATATAAAAATCATCAAATAGATTAGAGAGTTAAGGAAGACTGCTGAAACATTTGCAGTTTTCTGTAAAGGAATAAAAATTAAACATTTGAATTGAGAAATCGTTATAAAAATAGTAGTTGAATAAACAAATCTGACAGTTTTATCCAATATAATACATTTTTATCTGAGATTGATCACAATTTGTAGTCAGAGACAATATTTTACAACGCCAAGCACATTTGCACAGCAAACTTCATGTCAGAATAACATGGATTAAATGACTAGTGTTATGTGGGAGGAAGTCTTATTGTAGATTAACTGATAGCTTGCAGTATTAACTGTAATACCTTTTTATTTTACAAGTTGTAAAAAATTATTTGCAACCAAAAGACACACTAATGTGTGGAAAACCACAGAGAACAAAGAATTATCAATATGTATTCGGGTGGGCATTGGTGTGTTCAATAATTAAATATATTATCATTATTTTAATTTAATTTTTTAATTTTAAAACATTAAAAATTTACATAACAGGGACAGAGGCTCTAAAAAATGTTCCCCACATTTTAAATTGTTTTAAGTGATATTAGAGGAAACAGTTTTTTTAATTACATTTATATAAAATCATATAACACAATTTAAATTCCTAATGTAGAGAAAAATATACACTTTTTATAATGCCGATATAAATAACAGTAACGGATTTCACATCTTCGCTTTCCAAAAACAAACACAAACAAAAAAGCAAAAAGCAAAAACCAATTGAAAAAATAAAAAAATAAAAAATGAATAAATAAATAAATAAAAAAAATAAAATCAGTTATAAGAAAACAGATAGTGTCTTGGAAAGTATTGTTTTAATTGTAAAACTATAACATGAAATAAAAACACAGTAGTAGGTATCTATTATTTGTGATTAGTTAGTGTCCCTCGTATTTCTGTATTTTAAGCCGATAGAATCCACTACCTAATAAATACACCACAATGTGTTGATTCTCAAGCCAGGTGCACAAAGGTTTTATTGAAATGTTATTGGAATATGTACTGACACTAATACAACGAGGTTTCATATTAAACCTGTGGTATACAAAATATCCTCATAAAATAATTCAAATAAAATACATTTTAATATAAATAATAAATTGTTACGGTAAGTCAATATAAAATGTAAAGTAGTTTATGTACAAATATACATAATAGCCTAATAATAATATAATTTTTATATATTTAGAGCAGAAAGTATTAAAACTTATTTGAGTTATTTTAATTTAGCTTTCCGGTTCTGCTAATGTTTGAGTTTATATAGGCCCCTATGCCCCATGTAACCAAGTTTAATAGTGTAAAATTCTTTCTTTCCAATTCATCTATTCACTTCATCAAATTGTTAATATTTTTTTTTCTTATTATATATTTTATTGATTTGTTTTAATACAACAAAAAAAAAAAAATATAATAAATTTCAATTTAGGTTTTAACTTGCAAGCATACCATTTTACATTTTTTTTTACATATGTTATACCCAATGGCAGCATATACAGCTCTATGGAATCTCAATATACAGAATATCTGAACAATCCTATTATTTTAAATGGAAGCTATTGGAATCACTTAATCAGTTAATTCTGGAACAAACATGATGAAACTTTGTACTCATCATCTATGTAAATTATATGTAGTCATTTCCTTTACTAATTACTAAATAAGATAGCATTATAATTGTATCTTAATAACTTAATTAGTTGTTTATTGGATTTTCACATTGCCTCTTTTAAAGAACCACCCTATTGTTTTTTGTCCATTATGCACAACACCCTGCGTAGTCACCATTCTCAAGCCTGCCTCTTGCACTCTCAAGCATTTTATCTGTCTATCTATTGGACTTGTGCATTCGGTTTCGACAAATTGTGATGCGTCTACATTTTGGGTAATTTCGATCATCCGAGATCTGTAACTATGAATCGCCATATGACCGAATTACGATGTAAGCAAAATGTGGACTAAAAAAAAAGATATTTTGGGAAAAAGAGATGATTGATGGCTGTGGTACAGTCATTAAACGTTGATTTTAGTCAGCCATCAAGTTAGAAGTGACCAATAAAGGAAGAAAATGAGAAGCCGTAAAAAAAGACATCTATTTTTAGAAATTTATATATTATCTATTGATTACTTGGAGGAAAAATGCATCTATCAGCACGGCTGTAGGAACACGCTAGAATCTGGGGGTAACAACTTTAAACTAAGAATATCTGCCCTCCCCCCAAGTTTTTGTACACACAAACATACACATTACAGTATACCATATATATACAGAATTGTGGTTAAATGAAAACCTAATGTAAACACTAAGGCCAATTAGCTGATAAAAAATATTTCCAGTTAAGCTGATTTTTAATTTTTGTCTTTTTTTTGGTCAGGTTTTTACAATTCAGTATTCAGTGTGCTATAATTCATAGTGAATTAAAGTGTGTATTTTTGTGTACTATCAATTGTGTGTGTTTATTTATGTACAGTGAATAAAGTAAATATTCTTAAATGCTAGGGTGTCTGTTAGTGTTGTGCATGTGTGAATACAATGATGCCAGCGAAGGTTAGTAAAAAATGGTGATGATGTCAGTGTGCAGTGAGATTGTTTTTATCTGCTTAGTGTCACTGAGACTACCTGCGTATATATGTGAGTAGTTTTATTGTGCGTAAATACTGTTTGTGCATATTTGTGCAGAGTTTTAGTGCTTGTGTGAATTGTGTATATGCATGATGTAATTGTGTGAAATGGTATTGTGCTTCTTCTATGCAAAGTTGTATTTATCTGAAGTGCTAGTATGCATGAATGCAAGGCTGAATTTGTGCAATGTAAATGTGTGTGAATGTATATATATTTGTATGGTGGGTCAGTGTGCGTGCTTAGGTCTATTTGTATGACAGGTCTATGTGTGTGTGTTTGTTTGCAAAAACTTAGTATGTTTTACTGCAGGTGTGTATATGAAGGTTAGTGTGTGTGATTGCACGGTGTATGTGTCTGTGAATGAAGTATTCATGGTGTGTACAAGCTTTCTGTGTTCCTCAGTGTGTTAGGTCCCATATCGCTCCTTGTCAGCTGTGACTGCCTCTTTCTCTGCCAACTTCAGCATTCACTTACAATGCATGTTCTCTTCCTTAGTGTTAACTCTCTAATTATTTTACTGCATTTCTCAGAACCTTTATATCTCTCTTTCTCACCCTCCTGTATTACTCAGTTTGTTTTACTATTTCAGCATGCCAAATAGTTAGCCCTGCTCCACTCTTTCTACGTCTCTCTAAGTCCTCATACATTGTCAAATTTCTCTGCCTAATGCATTCACATCAGGTGTACTGGTGACCTCCATGCAGTAATATCAGCTAGAACTGCTTGCATGTTCCCCTGCTTCTCTGCAGTCTCTGTGGGAAAGATTTTCCCATGACTCACTGCTGCCCCCCCAATGGTCGGGTGAATTAAAATACCACCAGAAGCTAAAAAAGCTGACATCAGCCAGGCCAGCCAGCAGTACATGTGGCAGTGAATCTTAACCAAAATATGACAGGGGAAGGGGATCTGACCAATCTCACCCCCCTTTAAGACTATCTTGTGTGATGTGTCCATATTCTCACCCTTTTGGTTTGTCCAAATCCTTTTTTCCCTAATCATTTGCATGGAAGAAATCATTCCAAATGGAAGCACCCTATGGACAAATGTTGGACCACCCAAACTCTATTTTTTTTCCATACGAACCAGTTCAGCCACACAGATGTTTTTTTCTTCTGTAGACAAGTCCTCTATCTATATACATACTTTCGGTCTGTCTGTCTAACTGGGTTTTGAGGCTTTAACCTCCTCTGGGCATCTCTGTCACACTCTTGTCTCAGCATTTTTTCCACCTCCAAGAATGTGTCAAACCAAATTCAGTTGTTTTCTTTAAATAAATAAGTTTTGATGTAAAAGGCCAGTATGGAGATCAGATACTTTCCCATCATTTCCTACAGTTTTCCTCCAATAACTTATATTAATAAACCGGCAGTCTTTTAATCAGTCTACCTAATCCTCTAATGTTCGGTTGCCCCCAGAATGGAATTTCAAAAAATTTGACTTGCTTTATGATCCAGGTTTTTCATACCTTTACATTTCCTGTAATATCCCTCTTCTCTCCCTCCAACCTCCTTATTCTTTTTATTCAATTCCTTTTTTTCTCTTATGTAATTTTAGTGGATATTTTCTATCTCCATGCCAGGAAAATCCTTGCACTGTTGATATTTTGAGCTTCCCTTTAATTGACCTCTTCTTAGACAAAAACTGTCCTTGATTTGCAATTAAATTGAATGGTGCTGTACACTTTGGAGAGAAACTAATAAAAATGACACACTCGTTATAATCTAGCAGTATGAATCAGAACCAGACCCAATTTAGTTTCTTTGTTTCTATATATTTCCATTCTCTTTTTGTGTACCTCGAATTGGAGTCAGAGATAAGACAAAGAGAAGACAATGATGCTTCCTGCCTACATCAGCATTCTTAGGCTTATAATTGTCATCGTAAAGGCTCCAGTGCGGATAAGACTTCATTAAACCACCTGCCTTGTTTAAACCTGCAGCATATTAAATAACTGGAAGAAATAAGAAAACTAAACACACAGTAAAAAATATATATGAAAACGAAAACATGATATAGGCTATAAAACACAAAGGCAATTTGCTGATCATTAGTACAGGAATGTCAGGATGTGCTTTTATATAGAGCCTGTACGTATGGTATTATGAGGGTCTGATCACACTCGAAAACTGGGGTTAATCACTCAGCAAATTGTACGGAGTGGAAAGTCGAATTTGAACTAAGTTGGAGAATTATTTAAAATCAACTATTGGTAACCAGCTTCATTAAGTTAATGTTTTTTTGATGTATAGAGTATCCGTTTAAGCTTTATGTTAAAAAGCTTCACTGCTCACTATTTTGTTTAAATTTTACAGTGATGAAAGAAGGAATAAGCGATCTCAGTTTCCTAAATCATAAAAATGAGACTAAAGAATAAAAAAAGAATGACAATAAAAATAAAAAAAAGATTGTGGATAGCTGCTTGCACCAAATAAGGATGGATGACTTATAAACCATAGAAAGTATTAATAAAAATGTAGGGCATTAATGAAATATAAAGTATTTTATCTATAAAAACAGTCAATAGATCAACACAATGAATAAATAGTAGCTCCCAATAGAAGCTTGTTAACCACTCACAACATGAATAAATACGGAGGAATACAATGGAACAAAAAAACAACAACCCAAGAGTCCCAGAAGGCATCTTTAAAAATGGCTACAAATAGTATGTTAAGGGGCAGCTTACAGAGGTGTCATTAATTCATAAACCTTGATACGTTGCTGTGGTCATGTAGTTGTTATTGGGATTCCACATATATACTACTTTATTTATATTGAGATTCCTTAGAACAATTCAATACATTTGTAAAGCTCAGCATGTCAACTGAATAGGCAATAAAGCAGGTACAAAGTATTACACAAACACTCAGGAATCATTTGATGATGTAGAGTATAGTCACAGTTACATTGTCAGCCTTTTTAGGTGCATCCCTGAGGATATTAGCAAGACAGTCAATACTGCCTTACTCTACGGCTCTCTACATATATACCCTAACTGATCACATACACCCATAATGAATTTAAAGAAGAGGCTATGCAATCAAAAGAGCATGTACAGAACTCCTTAAAGGGGATTGTAATAAGTGAAAGCAAAGAAGAAAAATTACCACTATGTAAAAAAATCAAACATAGCTAAGAAAAGAACCAATGGAAAAATATAAAGTTAGAGTCATATATGTATATGTCCTGCAATACTAATGTGCTGTGTATTTCTATTACCCTTCTAGTATCACACAAATATGCTAGATGTAGATTCAAATTTAACTTCTCTTGGGCTAAGTTTCTCCAGTTGGTAAATTCATCTGGTCTCTGCCCTTACAAATAAATTCTTCCTATCTGCATGACTAGTGGACGGTGGGATAATACTGTACAAATTATTATTAGTGTTTGAGGATTAGCTTCATGGAACTTATTAAAGTGTTTTGAATTCTTATCGATAATGGAGCTTTGATTCCCCCTAAATCTGGCTTTAATAGCCCTAACAATCCACATTATATACTACAGTCGAAGCCCACATTTTATATTCATGTAGACTACTTTTGTACTGTTAGGGGTGATTTTATGGGTGTCACAGTACCTATCACATTCCAGTATCCTGCATAATTCCAGGGAGTGTCATTTTGGACGCTAGTCACTCCAAACCTTTATTCATTCCTCCAACATCGCTTTTCCACCATTTGACAAAAGACCAGTCGCACTCCTGCTAAGCCCTTATGAACCCTTTCCACATACTCCACCTTGACCTGTCATGGTTTCCCTTGTGGTGATTCGGGACCATGTTGTTAAATAGATCTGGTATTCTGACTTTGGCTTAAACTTTACCATTCTCCTTCCTTTTAATCATTTGTTTTACCATTATTGCTACTTTCTATGAACCCAGACCTCAGCTAGTTCTTGACTTCACTTCTACCTGTTACTTAGGTTACTTCTTTTCTATTTCAGCGTTAAGACCGGACGACTCTAAGGTCCAATAATATGCCTCTGCTCCTTTTTATTTTCTTTCATAGCTTGGTGTGACCTAAGTTCTGTATGTTGGGCTTCTGTGAGACAGGACTACAGTAAATAGGGGAATATTAATTAAAGAAAGGAAATTGTTGGCCCCATAAAGCTTATGGCACCTATACACCATGTCCCCTCCATATTTAATATTGCCTCCTTGTAAACTAGAAAAAAATACCTAATGGTTGAATTCTTGCTTTCCACATTTTTTGTTGGTGCCAAGATGTATTTTTAAATTGGAGGGTTTGTGAAAGTTAATCTGGATCTGTATGAAAGTGGCAATTACTGGCAAGGATCCTGAGTTAGAATTGTCCACTATTTTTTTCAGTATGTCTATTATACAATCAGACAGGCAGTTCACTTTCCAAACAAGATTTGGACCTTTAACTGTCACAGATAGAATGTTTGTGCTGGCAGTTTGGCTAGAAGGTGGATTGTGGGACAGACATTCATTAGCTACCGGATCAATAACTATCCCTACATAACTATCTGGGTAATCCCCTCTTTGGATCAACATTCCCAAGCTTTTAGGTATGCATGCATTATTACCCTCAGATAGCAATGCTTCTCCAAATAAAACAAGCTTCACCAGTAAGTATGACTCTTCCTCATCTATCAGGGAGGTACAATTTCTCATACATCTTAAATTGCCCCAAAGAAACAATATTCACTCATTGTAGGTGGTGTTTGCTTCTGAAAAGCCATCAAAACCTACCATCTGGTGGAAAGTTGTGATGATCACTCTTTGTCGTATGTTTCTCAACTTTAGGTCCAAAAGCCCAATACTACTGTTGTGTGGCTTCAATCTAAAATTGAATTCTATTTCATTATTATGAATGCCAAAAAACTATACAATTTCCTAGTATCAAAATATTGTCAATAAAACAGAAATTAAAGCCCAGCCATCACCTGTCCTTTGACCTGGAGGAAGAATGAAGGAATAAACCCATCAGTAGGCAATATAAATGTAAATAGTCCATTGAGTAACAATAGAAGCAACTCCTTATTCGAATATTGTTAGATCATATGGACTACATTCAAGATTCTACAATTTTGCTCTATGCTCCCTTCTTTGGGATAAAATACATCATGACTGATTTTGTTATTTTCATAACTGTTATGACACTCTATAAAATTAAAAAAATATATATACAAATTATAAATCTTTAGTGGACATTAATAGATTCAAGTGTATGTAGGCGCAATTCTATTAAAGGAGTATTGGAATTAAATGGTAAAATAACTATTCCCCTATGGCAAAACAAAGACTTGGGCCGTACCCTGTTCATTGATATCCAGTATACAGAGGAACAAATCTGTAATTGTTATTACAAGTCAAGTGGCATTTGCCAGCTATTGTAATGAGTTTATAACGTTCTTATGTGTAATATACCAAAACACAAAAGCAAAATAAAAAACTCTTCAAATGACAATGAGAAAAATACAATTAGCTTCAAAAAAGAACGACGTTATTATAGTCTAATTTACAAAATATACTTCAAAGTACCTATGTTATTTAAATCCTACAGAAGCAAATCTTTTCAAGAATTGAAAATGCTACATATTAGGGTGGACGCCTTGCTTTCAGTCATGTTCAATCATGAGAGAAGAGAAAATTCAATAGGACAGGATTATTTTTGATCTTTAAATATAGGTCTGTAGGAGCTACTCAATTTATGTTCCATTCTCTTTATTAACTCTTTGGATGGAGTACAGTGGCTAATAAAACTGAACAAGTAATTCACTTATTTATGGAGAGCTTTGTAACACTACAAGATTACAAGAGATCCTTTAACTTTGATTCTCCAGCATGCGTATGCATATTGAGAACCACCTGAGATAAGAAGTAAGTAGAGTGCTGCTTAAAGTACTGGAAAGGCTTAATGCCGGCCCCTGGGTAAGAATTATAGTTTACGAGACTTTTCAATATGGAAGCCTTGATTTATTATATGCTGTTTAAATGTTTTCTATCTCATTGGTTTGAATAGGGTAGTTTTTATTAGAGTGGTCACTTTAATATTTTTTTTATGAGATATTTATTCTTCTTACTTCTGTTGGGCAGCACTCGATAGTGCGGAAAATCTATGTTTCTAAAAGTGAATATGTTGTGAAAATATAAACTTACCTGAAATCTCTACCATATACATTGAATACACGATATATCACAAAGATACAAGATGTATTCAATGTAGAATATAAAGATTTACTCACCTCTCCTGTTTTCCAGCGCTACCTTTTTCAAGCTTCGTAGGTGTTACCCTTCATGTAACACCCACCTCCCGGCTGTCCTCTGCTTCTCCTCTGGTCTTCAGTGATTTGCCCTGCTTGGGGACACTGAGCTGAAGGACTTCCTGTGGGAGATGTTGAGGCTTTGACTAACACCTGGGAGAAAAGCCTATTTTTAATCCTATTGGACTGCACTTCCAGGCCCTGCCTGATAGGAAGACATATTAAAATGCACATTAAACAAATTGGCAACACATCAACCCTTGCTCTCCTTGACATGTTAACTGGATCAAATGTTGAATTATAGTGCTGGTGTCATATTTTTTTTTTTTGCATAATGCATAATAAATGATTTATAAAAGTGGCTATATGGTGTGTTCTATTTTTCCTGTTTGAAATTTATAGCATAAAAATGTAGGAAAAACTTTTTGATTTTTGGAAGAAATTGTTAACGTTTAGACGAAAACAACCCTCTAATAACTTATAATAATGCAGCACTATTGTAATTTTCAGTAATTAAATATTTCAGGCATTTCATCACATACAAGCAACGGTTATTAGGTACTCACAAGTCTTCTCAACCCTGAAATATTAGGGGAAACACCTTCCTGGCATGTCAGTATAGTGCTTTGCCCAGTTGTCATTGCTTGTAAATAGAAACAAAACAAGTAAGGGATAAAACAAGTGGAGAAAAAAAAATTGTATCCTCAAAATAGTACTAAAGGCTACACACGTCAATAAACTTACATAGTTTAAAGTTTTCTTAGAGTATATTTAAAATCTGATCTAATCTGCTTTGTTAAACTGAATTCGCCATGTTCTGTGTAACGCCTTAAGTGTAGCATATTTTTAAAAAAATGTTTTCTGATTTTTCTTTGAATTCACATCATTGTAACTATGGCCACCTGTGTTTTGTCCAATTTTCAGTGTAAGATTTATGTCTGAGTGGGTAATTATAATATTTCTGAATATTGCTTCTCCTGGTTAGACATATATTAATATATAAAAGCAGATTTATTAATGTACATCTACATGTTGAAGTTGTAAACATTATATGCTCTGAGAGAACAAGAGTGTATGCAGTGTCTTTACAGTAATGCTTTGAGACTAAGTGTCCGACCTAGTGCTGGGATCAAGTAACCAATCATAAATTGCTCACCTAGAGGGTGGAACCATAACATTTAGAGAAGACACGTGTTATGGCTACGCCAAGAACCACAGCAAACCAAGACCATGAATCATTACTTCCTGTAGCAATTTCTGCTTGAAAAATGCTGTAGGATACAGGGGATATTTAGCGAAAAGATTTGGTAACGCTGCATTGTATTAAAATTAAAACCTCAATTTTTTACAGCCCTCTTATTAGACAGCATGAGGAACCAAACCATTTTAGATACGACCCATCATTTACTGAAAACAGCATAAGAACCTCTAGGGACACCCCGAAAGAAAATGCTAAAATAGTTAAAAGATCCATTACTTTTTATCCTTGCTTACATGCTTTATCTTTGTATAATTTTATCTTGCAGCAAATAAATTAATTCACTATTACACTTTGCCACCACAACCTTCATTAGCAATAGGAATTGATAGTCATGTTGATGGTCAACAATTATGGAGCAAGCTCCATCATAACAACCACTCAAATGGACATCATATTTCTCAGACAGTTGGAAATGTCTTCCTTTGGGAATGCATAAGCCACGTGAGGTACCTTCTCTCAAACTTACCCAAGGGTTGAAGATGGTTAAAATCAGCCACTAAGATGGCTACTAAGTTGGCAAGGATCTGAAAGTTGGTGGAGCAAAGCTCAGCAGGTTCCCACATTTTTTTTTTTTATCTGACCCATGGTCAGAATTTCCCCCAAATTTTTTTCCGAATTTTTTTTTGGAGATTATATGGACTATTTTATGTTGGTGTCATAGCTTATTAAAGGCAATTTTATGCCACTATAAAAGATATGAGTTAACTTTTGGAGACACACTATTAATATACATTTTTTGGACCTCTGCCTCATCTCCATAGTTATTGATCCTACTGCCCAGTACTGTACATTTTTATGAATGCACAAGATCCTATGATCTAAATTATATAGAAAAATAAGCACCACTAGGGGGACCATAAGTCGTGTTTTTAAAACTTATAACTGGGGACAACCCAAAATTTCAAACACCGAATAACATAAATCTAATATGCCCACATGAGAATATTAGACAAAACAAGTCCCTAAAGTAAACAAAAATAAGAAACAAATAAATGACTTTATTATAATAATTGTAAAGGAAACTTGAATAGTTAGAAACATATAATAATAAAAAAAACTTTTGAAGCTATGGCAAGACCTAGGAAGGTTAAACAAGGATGGTATTGACCTCTATAAAAGAGTGAAAAATCAAGGCAGAATTGATTATATTTTGCTGACTATTCAAGTCCACTTTACTATTACAATAACAAAGTTATTTATTTTTTGTTATTTTTGTTTAATTTCATGACTTGTTTTGTCTAGTATTCTCATGTGGGCATATTAGACTTATGTTATGTAGATCCTAGCCTTGAGTTACCAGTTCCATGCAAGTACTTCTGAAGCATCTAAGTGAACATCTCCACCAATCTTCCTTACCCCACCTTATACCATTGGACATTTTCCATGAAGACAATCCTATATTGAAGTTACCTTTCCTTTTCACTTCTACACTTTTCTCTTTTCACTTTTCCTATTTTATATTTCTCTTTGTCAGGTCCCTTTGCCCCACTTTATCACCATTGTATTACCTCATATTTGACTAATTTCTGTCTGTCTGTCTCTCTCTCTATTTGTCTGTCTGTCTGCCTGTTTTTCTCTCTCTATTTGTCTGCCTTTCTCTCTATTTGTCTGTCTGTCTGTCTACCTGTCTGACTGTCTCTTTATTTGTCTGTCTGCCTGTCTCTCTATTTGTCTGTCTGCCTGTCTCTCTATCTGTATGTCTGTCTGCCTGTCTCTCTATTTGTCTATCTGTGCACCTGTCTCTCTCTCTCTATTTGTCTGTCTGCCTGTCTCTCTCTCTCTCTCTATTTGTTTGTCTGTCTGTCTGTCTCTCTCTCTATTTGTCTGTCTGTCTGTCTCTCTCTATGTGTCTGTCTGTCTGCCCCCTCACCCTTTCTCTCTATTTGTCTGTCTGTCTCTCTATTTGTCTGCCTTTCTCTCTATTTGTCTGTCTGTCTACCTGTCTGCCTGTCTCTTTATTTGTCTGTCTGCCTGTCTCTCTATTTGTCTGTCTGCCTGTCTCTCTATCTGTATGTCTGTCTGCCTGTCTCTCTATTTGTCTATCTGTGCACCTGTCTCTCTCTCTCTATTTGTCTGTCTGCCTGTCTCTCTCTCTCTCTCTATTTGTTTGTCTGTCTGTCTGTCTCTCTCTCTATTTGTCTGTCTGTCTGTCTCTCTCTATGTGTCTGTCTGTCTGCCCCCTCTCTCTTTCTCTCTATTTGTCTGTCTGTCTCTCTATTTGTCTGTCTGCCTCTCTCTCTATTTGTCTGTCTGTCTCTCTCTCTCTATTTGTCTGTCTGCCCGCTCCCCCCTCTCTCTATTTGTCTGTCTGTCTGTCTGTCTCTCTCTCTATTTGTCTGTCTGTCTGCCTATCTCTCTCGCTCTACTTGTTTGTCTATCTGTCTGTCTCTCTCTTTCTATTTGTCTGTCTGGCTCTCTCTCTCTATTTGTCTGTCTGTCTGCCTCTCTCTCTCTCTATTTGTCTGTCTGTCTGCCTCTCTCTCTCTCTCTATTTGTCTGTCTGTCTCGGTCTGTCTGTCTGTCTATCTGTCTGTCTGTCTATCTATCTATCTATGTATCTATCTATCTATCTATCTGCATCTCCTATTATTTTGTTTTATTTTCTGGTTTAAAAAATGCCCACTTTGTCCTCTCCATTCCAAATAAACCTCACCTTTCCAAGAAGGAATCTCTTTACATGTCTTGTGCCTTCTTCTGCTGAGATAAAAGTGCTTGATCTTTGCCAATACAACAATCTGAAGTTTTAAAAGATTATCACATCAAGCTCTATATTTATTCATGTCTTACAAATTGATAAGTACATTGGGCAAGCACCGACGGATCATAACTGTATGGGGTACATGGAGTAGAATGTTTAACGCGAGGACAACAGGGCTAATAACTAGGCAAAAGGAGATTTTCTATGAACCACAGCATGTAGCTGATTGTCGTAGGTTTATTACATCATAATTTTAGTAAGATCCTCAGTATGAATCTAAAAGATCTAAATCACAAGAAAGTCAGCGAGTCTTATTATTCTGAGACTGAAATGACATAATCTAATATCAAGTTAAACCAGCTACAATACAAATAAAACAGGCATTTTGTATTGTTCTGCATTTCACTTTCATCCATATACACCTGTCATATCAGCTTTTGAAATTGATCTTCGTTTACAAACCTCCTGTCTACAGAAGACTGCTCTTTACTCTTTCATTATCAAGCTCAATTTATTTGAAATGTGAGATGAACAGTATATGGTGTAAGGCCAATCAATAATTTCATATATACATTCCTATTCTGGTATGCCTTAAAATTCCAATTAAGCTTTGTCTATTCTGTCATCCACTACAGAAATATTGTGAGAATATAAATAATTAGAAATTGTATGTCATTACTTATTTTACGTTACTTCTGAATGGTTCAGAAATATTAGCTGTTTCTTCAAACAGATTTAATATTTTGCTGTGCTCCAAAGTTCAGAAAAACTGCCTTTCTAAATAAACGTTTTTTGAACATTTTTCACATGAAAAAAAAAGTATGAACAATTGTAATAAAATTATCTAGGCACTGAACAACAATTTGTATCATAGTAAAATGGAGATAAAGGGCACGGAGCAGGAGCAAATAAGAAGAGAGGTCTAGAAGAGAATTACCAAAAGAAGTAGGAGGCCACAATTCTAGAAAGGATTTGAGATGGGAAAACAAATGTAAATTGTCTGGAATTCAAAGTGAATTTCACTTTTTGAGCCCGAATTACTGATCTGATTTTTTTTCCTCCAACCTAACTATGTATCCAAGTCATTGGTTTTGGGCTATAATTTAAAATTCACTTGGAATTCACATTGAATCCCAGCTAATTCACACTTTACTGAATAACCCTGGTAGAATAAACACTGTTAGTGTAAACTCTAATGTATATCTTTGGCAACTCTTCTGAATTTGGAGTTCTTTTCTACCATCCTGGGTTGGTTCCCTGGTGTGAGGCATTTTGGGGACGCCAAGGAAATATCTCCAAACCGCATAATGCAAGCACATTAAAAAAAAATAAATTTGGCACTTTGCAGAAGGATGCCGGGGCAGTAAGCCCATGCCCATAATCTTCGAAACCACTCTGCATAGGTCCTGTCCTCGGTCGGAGTGCCCAGTAAGGCTATCAGTCTCTGCATTTGGGTGGCCCTGCCCTCTTTCCATGTGAGGCCATCATGCAACTGGTGTATATAGTTATATATATATATATATAAATCACCAAGCAGAATTGAACATATTGCCACATTGAACATTTTAAAAATAAAGGAAAATCCATTATAGAAGCAAACATTTTAATTAATGTTAATTTTCAGCATGGGTGTAACATCTACACACTAATGTCCTGCACTTTTACAAGTGTTATAATATGGAAATTTTCTTAAGTAGTAGTAGGGTTTGTTCACGTTTGTACACTGAGCTCCAATGAACTTTATATTTGCAGCACTTTATTTTTATAATTCTATATGTATCTACTACACATAATCCTGTACGTTCTTTCTTTCTACAGATACTGAAAAATCACAGCAGAACCAAACAGATGACTCTAACCCTGAAGATGGTTCGTTAAAGAAGAAACAACGACGACAGAGGACACACTTCACCAGTCAGCAACTTCAAGAACTTGAGGCCACTTTCCAAAGAAATCGATACCCAGATATGAGCACTAGAGAGGAGATTGCTGTATGGACCAACCTAACAGAGGCCAGAGTCAGGGTAAACTCTATACATACATATACTTTTTTATTTAGAAAATATTTGACCAGGAAGTATAAATTAAGATTTCTCTCGTTTTCAAGAATGTCCTTTACTTGAATGAATATGAAGACACAATTCTCTATTCTCTGCCACCTAGGAGTTAAATCACTTTTTTTTTATAATTCTTTATTTTTGTAGTGCTTTGCAAGTTTCACATATAAACACAGACAGTGCAAGGGTATCACAGAAAGTATTCGTTGGTAGAGTACATGACATGTCTGAACAAATGCACCTTTTTTGGGTTATAATATCAAGATATTACATAGGGTAGCGTAAGTAATGATAGATTGCTAATCACAGGCCAAACATGCTGAGAGAGAGGTATTAGGATTTATGCAGGCTTAAGTAATGCAAGAGGGAGTAAGTTGCTTAGAATTCAAGAAAGATAAAATCAAACAGCATGGTATAAGCTTGTACATGTAAGTTAAACAAAATTTTGAACTGGGCTGGAGGTAAGTATCAGAGCCTTAAGTTTCTGCCAATGGTGACAATGTCCCTTGAGATATATAATGTGAGGACAGGACCACATGCCCATTGAATTAGTCCCTGTCAGCCTATGCCCACTCGGTGTGCATAACTGTCCAGCATGGATGTGACTTGCCAGGGGGTGACACACTTGCTTGGTGAGGAGATGTCTGCCACTGATAGCATGAGGGGCGGCTCAGAGGTGGTTGTGGTGGTCTCTTGATGCAGCTTAGAGCAAACGCTGGTATAGTAGGATTAGCCATTCCACGGCAGTGGCGGTCAGGACATCGGTCCACACCTCGGTATCTTAGGTGGTAGCACGGCTTGCACGCATTGCAGACCTAATGTGTTTTCCGGCGGTGGTATATGCTGTCTGCAGTTCTGCAGATGGAGCTGCTTGGAGGTAGGCAAAGTTGGTTGCGTCGCCGCCATTTTGGCACCCTGGCGTGGGATGCACTGCAGGCTCGATGGGCCGGTATTAGGCAGTAGTTCCCTCCAATGTGGACCGGGATAACCCCCCCGGTCCGTGGGGGGGGAGCAGGGCCCGTAAGACATGTCACTAGGCTGCTGCACGGCTGCCAGGTTCTGAAACAGGACGGCGGCCGTCCGCCCCGTTCTACACCCACATGGGCCGCAGGCCCCGAAGCCTCGCATCACCCCATGGGCGTGCAAGACTCCCGATCTCGGGTCCGCAATGGCACCGTCAACCGCCTGGACACGGGAGGTATTAGCTTGACTCCGGGGCAGGCTGTAAACTCGGCATTTTCAGCGAAATAGGCCAAATCCCACAGGAGCCCCTCCAGCCTGCGACCGGTCAGCATGGCGGTCGGGCCCCGCCCCCGAGTTAAATCACTTTTGATTCTGTTAATGCAGTCCTAGCCACACAACGCCTGGCTGTGACTGACACAGCCTGCATGAAAAAAATGGTTTAATATTAATTTAGATGTTACCTTTTTTTATCTCCTGCTCTGTAAATTGAATTTTAATCACACACTGGAGGCTCCTGCAGTCTATAGAAGGCTATTAACACAGTAGGAGTTAAGTAATTCTACATTAAACAGACTGTACAATACAGGAACATAGAGTATCTATGTTCCATTTCATGAAGTGTTCAGGAAGGCTTTGCAAGTCACATGCAGAGATGTATAAACAAAGTAATTTAACTCCTAAATGGCAGAGAATTGAGTAGTGATACTGCAGGGGCGTGATCTATACACTAAAACAGCTTCATTAAGCTAAAGTTGTTTTGGTGCTTAGATGTTGTTTTGGTGCTTTAATCTTGACCCCCTCAGCTGTTGTTGGCTACACTTCACAGAATTACCTTCCAAACAACTGTTTTCAGAAAATGTTAGGAACTATGGCTCTATATCAGCTAGGGAGTCCAGTTTGGACATAGCTATAACAGGTCACAGAGAGAATATTCATGGGCTCTCTGTTATATTTATTTTGGCATGTGTCTTGAAGGGTGTTTAATTATCAATCCAAACAAAATGGCATCTTCAATCATAAGTAAATATATATCTTCTCTAAATTTCAGGTGTGGTTCAAAAATCGGAGAGCAAAGTGGAGAAAAAGAGAACGAAATCAACAGGCGGAACTCTGTAAGAATAGTTTTGGGGCCCAATTTAATGGACTCATGCAGCCCTATGATGATATGTATTCTGGATACTCCTACAACAACTGGGCTACCAAGGGCCTTGCCACTAGCCCACTCTCTGCCAAGAGCTTTCCATTTTTTAACTCCATGAATGTAAGTCCTTTGTCATCTCAGCCTATGTTCTCCCCACCTAACTCCATTGCTTCAATGACCATGCCTTCCTCTATGGTTCCTTCAGCAGTGACTGGAGTTCCTGGTTCTAGCCTAAACAACTTGGGAAATATTAACAACCTCAACAGCCCCAGCCTCAATTCTGCTGTCTCGGCCAGTGCCTGTCCCTATGCCTCGACGGCCAGCCCGTATATGTACAGGGACACCTGCAACTCAAGCTTGGCAAGTTTGAGGCTGAAAGCTAAACAACATGCCAACTTCACGTACCCAGCAGTACAGACTCCGGCTTCTAATCTAAGCCCTTGTCAGTATGCTGTGGATCGGCCAGTATGAAGGACCACATGCCAAAGACTTGATTGTAGCCATATAACAGAAGACCTATTTGCCCTGCAGTTTTTGCCTTTTTTTTTTTTTTTTAGATAAAAATGGGCGCACAATGACCTCTGGTAAAACATTTCCATTTTTAAACTGGCAAAAAAAAAAAAAAAAAAATAAAAATAAAAACTCAGACTTTATTTTTTTGGATTGAAGAGGACATATTGTATGAATTACGCAACATGAAGACAGTGTCCAAGTTCCAAGGTTAACTTAATTCCATAAACATATGAATACTTTGTTTTTCAGAAGGCACACAGGCTCTATAGATGCTATCATTGAACACGGAGTTGGAGAGGTCCCACTTGTATGGGAATTGTACAGTTTACTATTACCGAAAAATACGTACCCCTAGGTTATTTCAAAGTCAGAAACTAAACCAACACTTCTGTTTATTTACCACAAGGATAATCCAAAAAATAAATAAACCATGTACCAAATGACACAACGAAAACATTGCAAGCAAGTACACTGCAAATATATGCATGACCATTGCAACTACTCTATTATGGAGTCATAGTTGTAATGTAGGGAAATAGGATGTACATATATATTATATATAAAATATAAAATGAACCTTTTTTTCTTGTTTTGTTTTGTATGTGGAATAAACTATAAAGTAGAAATTAAACTTATGACAACGCATGTCCCATCTGGTGCAGATTTCAAAGACCATTTTTTTTGTGTTTGCTTTAATAATTTTAAAGCCTGCTTGGAATTCCTTTGAAAGTGTAATGTTTAACAATCGTAATTTCTTTTAAAAAAACAAACAAAACAAACAAAAACTCCCTCAATTTCCCCTTTTCTTTCCTCTTCATCCCCAAATCCATTTTCAAAACAAAAAAAAAATAATAATAATAAAAGTTGAAGTTTTCGATTTCTGTTTTGCCCTCTTATTGGAATGAAAGTGAAAAGGACTTACAAATATATTTTTTTGTTTTGGTGAGAGGTACAGGGTAGGTGGAATGAAACCATTGTCAAAAAGTCAGAGGGTGCAAAGGGGATCCTATTAATATCAGTGGATTGATTTATTTTGTTGATTGATCTGTTTAAATTCCTTAGTTATCTAACGACTGTGAACTATTATAACAGCAATGATTTAATGAATCCTGAAAAGCAAGGTGTGACTCATCTTCCTGAGCCTCAAATGAGTGGGGAGTAGTTAAAATGAAAATGAATTAAAAGTGAATTAACATCACATTATCGTACAATATCTTAAATTCAACACGATTGAAAGTGCCAGCACATGTTATTGATATCTTTTTGGAATATAATAAGTAAGATTCCTTGAAAAAGAGGTGTCCGAGGTAAAAAAAAAAAATATCTATCAGGATTGCCATGGGTCACTATAATGTTGAATTTAAGGATGTATTTAAAGCATTTTGTGTATGGGAACAGTCAAGGGAATCTGCTGCGATCCTAACATCAATGCAGCACTAGTTTTAATCCATCAGGATATGAAATTTAAAACATTTATGGCTTACTCTAGATTGAACAATTGTTATGTAATAGTGTTTGATTGTCAGAATTTGCATATTTATTGTTAGAAAAAAAAAACGATACTGCATTAGTCATGGTAGTTTTCGGCAATCTAAAATTACACTTGAATGAAATCAGTTAAATGAGAGAGAGAGAGACCTGAAGTGATTGTTCTAGCATGCAATGGTAGAGAGGGTTATGAAGCCACCTAATTTTTTTCCCTTTGGAGGATCACATCCCGTTAAAAATAAACTTGCGGGACAAATGGTTCGGGGTTCTAATTCTACCTGAACAAAACAGACTAGAGTATTCCATTCCTTAACCAATCTGAATTAAAGTTAGGAATGTGTTCCAGCATTGCAGATTTAATGGACGGATGTCTATCCCATAAGCCTTCATGCAGTAAGAGTTTCCAGGGATTTGGGAAGGTCTAAAGAGCACATGCCTGCCTTAACAGGCATAGATGAACTCAGACTATTTTAAGTAATCCTCCTCTGTGTTATTCATGAATACTTATGGCATCAGAATGTCTAGAACATGTTTTCCTATAAAGCTGCTATACTTACATTCCTATAACATTTGCTAAGTGATTACTCATCTTTTTAAAGTGATTGTTTGTGACTCATGGTTTTCAATTTACTGTTTTGTTCAACAAAGCAGTTGGTACAGAATATCAAAATTAGATTCAAGGCTTTTAATTAAACTTGAGAATATTAACTCTTCTAGACTGACAGCAGCCAACACCGGCATTGCCCATGGTGTACCCTAGGTGGTTTAAAGTGTGAACATATAATGCCAAATCCCTTTAAAATAAGAACTGTGGCCTTTATTTAATAGACTTTACCAAAAACTTTCAAAATTATTTATTAATGATGAATTCTGTAGATAAATAATTTGGAAACAAATTTCCAACAGCATTGAGTAATTTGTAAATCTCATTAAATCAAGGCCTACGTGTTGCATCATCCCACTGAGAACCTCATTCTTTTTTTACATGGATAATAAAAAATATATATACATATTTGCAATTTTAGTACTGTTCATAAAACTTTTATGTCTTTTGTTTTGTACTATTTATTTTCAGAAGCAAAGCATACAATTAAAGTGTTGCAATTCTTACTTCACAGAGTCGAGCAGTTGGAAGGCAAGAACCAATATTCCATTTACTAGAATGCCTTGTGCCATATAGAATTGGATACTATTTTACAGACAAGGTTATTCACTGAAGCAAGAATTAAAAGTGAATTCAAAGTAAATTTAACATTTAAGTGCAAAATAGCTGAACTTGAAACATTCTCAGTCAGGAATGCTTGTAGGTCTTATAGCCACCCTTTAATTTAAAATTCACTTTGAATTCTCACTTTATTAAATGAAAGCAAGGTTTATCGAATGTTTAGTGTCTTATGTCACGAGTCACTTTATATTGTATGCAGTATCATAGTTGTCAACAGCAGTGCAAATAAAATGAATTCACTAGAGTGTTATTCATGTCAATTGATTCATTTCTTGACTCAAAATATACACAATCAATACTAACTAAAACTACATTTATGCTTGTGATACACTGAGCAACCACAACATTGAAACCAATGACTGGTGAATTGAATAGCATTGATTATATTGTTACAATGGAGACTGTCAGTGGGTTGGAATATGTTAAGCAGCAATTGAACAGTCAGTACTTGAATTTCATGTGTTGGAAGCAGGAAAAATGGGCAAAATGATGACAAAAGTCAAATAGTGATAGACGACTGGGTCAGAGCATCTCCAAAACAGCAAGTCTTGTGGAGTGTTCCCAGTATGCAGTGTTTAGGACTTACACAGAGTCATGCAAGGATAGACAGCCGGTGAACCTGCAAAAGGGTCATGGGCACCCAAGGTTCATTGATGCACCTACAGAACAGAAGATCACACAGAATCACACAGAAGAACTACTGTAACTCAAATTGCTGTTTGCTGCGTATGGGGCTGCATAGCCACTGGCCAGTCAGAGTGGGGATTTTAGCATCAGAATTGCACCATGGAGTAATGGAAGAATGTTGCCTGGTCTGATAAATCACATATTCTTTTAGATCTGGTAGATGGATAGGTGCATCATTTACTTGGAGAAGAGATAGAAGCAAAATGCACTATGGGAAGAAGGCAGGTTGGCAGAGCCAATGTTATATTTTGGGCAATGTTCTGCTGGGAAACCTTGAGCCCTGGCATTCATGTGGATGTTACTTTGACAAGTACCACCTACCTGCAGATTGTTGCAGACCACGTACACCCCTTCAAGGCAATGGTGTTCTATGATGGCAGTGACCTGTTTCAGCAGGATTATGCACCCTGCCACACTGCAAAATAGTTCAGGAATGGTTTTAGGACAAGGGTGTCACTACATAATGCAGTACTTCCCCTTGGCGCCCCTCCCAATTGAAATCTAAGCCTGAGTCTCCCTTCACAAGCTGCAGCAGCAGGCTGTCAGTTCCCACTTGCCTGATGGGCCTTCCAGACCGGCGGCAGTGCACAGAGGTGTGCGACCAAATGGGTTATTGTGCTGGAAGACTTCATAGAGAGCAGCTCAGGGTAGAGACAGGAAGAGAATGCACAGCTGTACAGATGTGGGGGAAATGAGACATCCAGGCAGCTGCTGGTAAGTGTAAGTCAGTGTGTGTGGTTCCGTTTGTGTGTGTGGGGGGAGGGGGAGTCAGTCTGTGTGTGTGGGGGGGCTTCAGTCTCTGTGTATGGGTCAGTCTGTGTATGGGTCAGTCTGTGTGTGTGTATGGGTCTGTCTGTGTGTGGAGGGTCAGTCTGTGTGTGTGTGGGGGCGCAGTCTGTGTGTCGGTGGGGGGGTAGTCTGTGTGTGTATGGGTTAGTCTGTGTGGGGGAGAGTCTTTGTGTGTGTGTGTGTGTGTGTATGGGTCAGTCTGTGTGTGGGGGCAGTGTGTGTGTGTGTTTGGGTCAGTTTGTGTGTGTGGGGGTCAGTCTGTGTGGGGGGGCAGTGTGTGTGTGTTTGGGTCAGTCTGTGTGTGTGGGGGGTCACTCTGTGTGTATGGGAGTCAGTCTGTGAGTGTGTTGGAGGGTCAGTCTGCATGTGTGTGGGTGGTCAGTCTGTGTGTATGGATCAGTCTGTGTGTATGGGTCAGTCTGTGTGTAGGGGGGCAGTCTGTGTGTGTATGGGTCAGACTGTGTAGGGGTCAGTCTGTGTGTGGTTTTGTGTATATGGGTCAATCTGTGTGGGGGCAGTGTGTGTTTGTATGGGTCAGTCTGTGTGTGTGTATGGGTCAGTCTGTGTGTGTGTATGAGTCTGTCTGTGTGTGGAGGGTCAGTCTGTGTGTGTGTGTGGGCATAGTCTGTGTGTCGGGGGGGGCAGTCTGCATGTGTATTGGTCAGTCTGTGTGGGGGTCTTTGTGTGTGTGTGTATGGGTCAGTCTGTGAGGGGGCAGTGTGTGTGTGTGTGTTTGGGTCAGTCTCTGTGTGGGGGTCAGTCTGTGTGTGTCTTGGGGGTCAGTCTGTGTGTGGGGGGTTAGTCTGTGTGTATGGATCAGTCTGTGTGTATATGGGTCAGTCTGTGTGTAGTGGGGCAGTCTGTGTGTGTATGGGTCAGTCTGTGTAGGGGGCAGTGTGTGTGTGTGTTTGGGTCAGTCTGTGTGTGTTTGGGTCAGTCTGTGTGTGGGGGGTCAGTCTGTGTGTGTCTTGGGGGGTCTGTCTGTGTGTGGGGGGGTTAGTCTGTGTGTATGGATCAGTCTGTGTGTATATGGGTCAGTCTGTGTGTAGGGGAGCAGTCTGTGTGTGTATGGGTCAGTCTGTGTAGGGGCAGTCTGTGTGTGGGTTTGTGTATGTGGGTCAGTCTGTGTGGGGGCAGTGTGTGTTTGTATGGATCAGTCTGTGTGGGGGGGCAGTCTGTGTGTGCGTGTGTGTATGGGTCAGTGTGTGTGTGGGTGTATGGGTAAGTCTGTGTGTGGGGAGGGGGAATCAGTCTGTGGGTTGAGCTCCAAGAGAGATACCTCTAATCCCGAGCTCAAGGGCTTGAGCTCGAAGAGAGATACCTCTAATCCCGTGACCTCCCCTGTACCCGATGGTTAAGCAGCCTTCTCAGCCACCACGGATCTGATTGTGCCACCCCCTCCCTGCAAGGTAAGATGAGGGAAAGGGGAATATTCTTTTTTTTTTTAAAAAAAAAACAATTATTAAAGCTAAAATTGGAAAGCCCTTTCCTATGCCACACACTACACCCCCTGAACAAAGTACACTCTCACAGACAGTGAAACCCCCACATACAGTACATTCCCACCAACACAGAGTACACCTTTGCATACACACATAGTGCACCACTCACTCACTTCATCCCACACATCATCTCTTCACTCACATACACACTTCATCTCCACATACATTCACCCCCCCACACACACGTACATACTTAACCCCATTACACACTGAATCTATATATATGTATACACACATATATACACACATATATACACACATATATACACACTCAATATGGCCCTCTCAGCACACACGCAATCTCAAAAGCTCCTATACATGAGCACGTGCTCAAACTACAGCCCCTAGTTACACATAGTACACCATAAACAGACTCCTATATGCACACACTTCACCACAGCCCCTTCTAAACACCATGAAAAATGATCATGCATCTCCTGAAAAGGTTTTCCAGTTTCCGTGAAAAGGTGTCTTGCCTGTAATAAGCAAGGCACAATGGTGGAAATACAGGCAGTGCTGGTGTTGCTGTTACACCGGGGCCCATCAAATGGCCCGTGCACTTAGGGCCATCCAATGGGCATGTGTCTTCAGGGGCCAGGGCTGGCCCGAGGCATTGTGCTGCCTGGGTTCATAGATGAAATGCTGCCCTCCTCCCCCCCACCCCCATAAAAATCCACACTCTTCAAAACACACTTAAATCCATTAATTTATGCAGTGTGTAATTCATGAACTGTCTGAGCTTGTGTATTGTATGCAGAGTGTGCAATGGATGCAGTATCTGTGTTTGTGTAGTGAATGCAGTGTGTGTGTAGTGGATGCAGTGTCTGTGTTTGTGTAGTGGAAGCAGTTTGTGTGTGTTTGTGTAGTGGATGCAGTGTCAGTGTTTCTGTAGTGGATGCAGTATGTGTAGTGAATGCAGTGTATGTCTGTGTAGTGATTGCAGTGATTATCTGTGTACTGGATGCAGTGTGTGTTTGTGTAGTGTATGCAGTGTTTGTGTTTGTGTAGTGGATGCAGTGCCTGTGCTTGTGAATTGGATGAAGTATGTGTAGTGCTAGCAGTGTGTGTGCTTGTGTAGTGGATGCAGAGTGTGTGTGTGTGTGTAGTGGATGCAGTGTGTTTGTGTAGTGGATGCAATGTCTGTGTGTGTAGTGGATGCAGTGTGTGTTTGTGTAGTGGATACAGTTTCTGTGTTTGTGTAGTGGATGCAGTGTATGTGTTTGTGTAGTGGATGCAAAGTGTGTTTGTGTAGTGAATGCAGAGTGTGAGTGTGTAGTGGATGCAGTGTGTTTGTGAAGTGGATGCAATGTGTTTGTGTAGAGGATGCAATGTCTGTGTGTGTAGTGGATACAGTGTGTGTTTGTGTGGGGGATACAGTGTCTGTGTTTGTGTAATGGATGCAGTGTATGTCTGTGAAGTGGGTGCAATATGTGTGTTTGTGTAGTGGATGCAGTGTGCGTGTCTCTGTTGTGGATTCAGTGTCTGTGTTTGTGTAGTGGCTGCAGTGTGTGTAGTGGAAGCAGTGTGTGTGTCTATGTAGTGGATCCAGTGTCTGTGTTTGTGTAGTGGATGCAATGTGTGTCAATGTAGTGGATGCAATGTGTGTGCTTATTTAGTGGATGCAGTGTACACAGTGAACACAGTGTGTGTATCTATGTAATGGATGCAGTGTCTGTGTGTATGTAGTGGATGCAGTTACATATTATTACATAGTTACATAGCTGAAAAGAGACTTGTGTCCATCAAGTTCGGCCTTCCTCACATATGTTTTTGCTGTTGATCCAAAAGAAGGCAAAAAAAAACCCAGTCTAAAGTGCTTCCAATTTTGCAACAAACTAGGAAAAAATTCCTTCTTGATCCCAAAATGGCAGTCAGATATCTCCTTGGATAAAGCAGCTATTATCCCATTAATTAGAAATTATATCCCTGTATGTTATGTTTTTGGAAGTATTTATTCAATTGCTCTTTATATACTGTGTGTGTGTTTATATACTGGTGTGTACTGGATGCAGTATATGTGTGTTTGTGTAGTGGAAGCAGTATGTGTGTGTCTGTGTAGTGGATGTAGTGGATGTGTGTTTGTGTAGTGGATGCAGTGTGTGTGTTTGTGAAGTGGATGTAGTATGTGTGTTTGTGTACTGGATGCAGTGTGTGTATTTGTGTTGTGGATGCAGTGTATTTGTGTAGTGCATGCAGTGTGTTTATGAGTGTTTGTAGTGGTGTGTACTGGATGTGTGTTTGTAGTGGTGTGTACTGGATGTAGAGTATGTGT